AATCCAATTTTCTTGGTAAATATAGATGCAAATTATTACTAAAACACTTGTGAACTGAATTCAACAGCACATCAACAATGACTATGTGGGCTTCATTCCAGGGATGCAAAGATGGTTCAACATATAAAAATGAATAGAGCTAATAGATCACATTAATATAAGTCTCATGATCATCTAAATGGATGTAGAAAAGTGATTTGACAAAGCCCAGCATCCCATCCTGATAAATGCCCAGAAGAAAATAGGACTAGTGGGAATATAATTCAATGTAATAAAACCCATATGTGAGAAAATAGACCCAAGCATGGGCTGTTCCCTCGCCTTTGCTCACCCACCAAAGTGAGACGGTAAGATCCTACTTCTGAGGACACCACTTATTTGGGATGCATGACACAAGGAAATTAATCATGGTCTGACCAAGAAACTCTCCCTGCTGTCTAGCTCTCATAATGTCAGAAAGTGTTATGCCAGCTGCTGGGGGAGAAAGACATCTTACCCAGCACTGGACCCTGCACACTACAATATGGACTTGCCAGGTTAGATGTGTCCACTGGGGCATTAGTGGTATGAAGGTTATAGGGGTAACCCACCATCAAAACCAACCGTTTGATTGGATATGAGGCCTGCTATGCAGGAAGGATGCCATGTCTAGTACTGTAAACTTAATCAAAAGCCCTTGACTAGGGAGATCACAGGCCCTGGAAGACGAGAGACCTATTAAATGGCCAAACTTCCCAACTGCATTCTAAATGTACATTTAAACATGAATGTGTATTTTATGTGTGTGACTGTTTTGTCTGTATGTATATATGTGCACCGCATGTGTGCCTGGTGCCTACAGAGGCCAGAAGAGATCATCGGAGCTCCTGGAACTGAATTTGCAGACAGTCATGAGCTGCTTATGTGGCTGCTAGGATCTCAACATAGGTCCTCTTCAAGAGCAGCAAGTGATCTTAACTGTGGAGCCATCTCTCCGATCCCCTAACTATATGTGTTTATACTCATCGGTTTACACTGCTCTCAGCTTGGGTTGGAGAAGATTCTCCTTGGAGAGGGATGTGGTTAAATGCAGAAACTTGTAACTGTTGACAATACTGAGAATAAGTGACAATGAGCTCAGCCATAGATAGAATGTCTATATGAAACCCTCACCCCACCCCACACCCTCACCCAAGGCTCAGAGTGCAGTGCAGTAGAGGAGGCCAGGGATTTGTGGGGGCTGTTAGAAAAGGCAGGCTTCAGGAGTATAAGTGCTGTTATACACACAAACACGTGGTGCCTGTGTTTCCCACACAAGACTATCACAAGATCAAGAGAGTTAAAAATTCCAACATGAAGGAGGGACTGGCTGGTGATGTCTTACCCCCAGCTGAGGAGCTAATGGCAACTGATGGCTTCTGAGGGAGGAGAGCTACTACTGTCTGGAGGGCCAGCCTCCAGAAGTGCAGGGCCTTTATGCTAAGAATTTTCTATCTAAGGGTGTTTAGGAGAAAAGACACTCACACTCTCTTGATGGCTTCCTTCTTTATTCTCTGTTCTTCTCATGTTCTTTCTATTATATGCTTTTTTCCTACAACTTATACACCCCAACAACAATTTTCAGGCAATATAGGAATTACAATGTGATTAAATTATATTTTTCAAATGAATTATTATAAGAATACAAGTAAAATATGTTTTTCATCTCCCTTACATGATTAAACATTTTACATATTATAGGTGAAAAACAAATTATCCCAAGAACCCACATACATTCACACCCAGACAACTTGCTATATATTAACTGCATGGGCAACAAGGTATTCTTCTCGTTAGGTCTTTCACTGCCAGGCAGCATTTTGCAGTTACAAAGAAAAGGCCAATTATTTTCTTACTTACCTTGAAAGATAATTGTATAAGGAATCTTAAAGGAACAACAAACCTAAACTTTTATATATGGAAAAGAATCAACCAACTCAACTTTAAATCTTTAGGGCACATGTCCACTCATCAATACTTTTTTATATCGGGAGATTGGAGGCAGAAATGGGTATAAGGTCATCAACCAGTCCTACCAAGAAAGGTCCATCAGTCAATGATAATTGTGCTGCTTTGTTCTTGTTCCCTGATCTTAAAGAGTTCCTCACTCAACTGTGTGCGTTTCTAAAACTTCAGATTGTCTTCTTGGAGTTTTCACCTCAAAGCTATTTAACAAAAACATCTTAGTCTAACTTTGTTATTTTCAAAGCTTTGTTTCAGCTGTGATGCACTCCAAAACCTGTGAACACGTCTCCCAACATGAATGTTAAAAGAATCTAAACTATCTGGACTACTAGGACTAAATTGTTAATCCTTAACTTGAGCTACAATCCATGCAGCTCCTTAGGTGAAACTCACAGACCCTCACTGGGTAGCATTTCCTTGTATTATTTATTCATCAAAACTCTGTATAGGGTATCATTATTATTATCGATTAGATAATACAGCTTGGGGACGAATCATTTTCTTGACAATCCAAAGATAAAAATTTCCAGTAGAACAGGATGTCTCCATGAGATAAACACACTACATACAGGCAGGGGGGATCTCCCCCACACCCATAGCAGCAGCAAACATGTAAAGGGACAGCGGAAACAGAAGACATTATGGAGTCTATAGTTCCATGGCCTTGCCTAAATGAGATTCACCCATCAGAGAGCTTCCTCCTGGTGGGCTGACACCTTGAAATTCAATTGCCCACTTGTTCCTCTGATGTGGTTACTGGCAGAAAGCCACTTTTCTTTGTGGGGCAAGTGGCTTTGGGTTGATTGCCCATGTCCCAGTGCAGGACCCCATACAGGAGCACACATGGGCAGAACTAATTGGAATTTGTAGATTCCACTCAAACTACTCACAGAGTTTGAGTAGAGATGGAAATTATGTTTTGGGGTGAGTGAATGGGACAGGGGAGAAGAGAGGGAATGGATACAGTTAAGATACATTGCATGCACTTATAAAAATCTTTAAGATATGCAGAATTTCAATGAGAAAGAATGCATTTTTTAACTCTTTGAGGGAATGTTCATAAGTTTGCATGTAGGGGTTGTGGACTTGAACATACTTCTTAGCTACTGGAGGACAGCTTCTGCGTCCCTTCCGTCTTGTGGGAGGTAGCGGCTGGTATTTGGGACCGCTTTTTAGTTTTCTAGTGGTTTGGTGGGATCCGGGCGGCACTTTCTTCCTGGGGTTTTCACCTCATCTGACAAGCTACTGTGCTGAGCCGCTTACTTGACCACCCATCATTTGGGGCTTATCCAGGGCTGCCAATCAGAGCCCCATGAGCCTCTCTAACACAACTGGTTCCTGGGACTGGAGTCTGTGACACCTGCTCCCAGCCGCTCATCACCCAAAGACCCCCAGCCCTACCACCAGGAACTCTGCCTGCCTGGGAAGTCACATGATGCGTCTTTGCTTTATTTTATTAGTTAAAGCAGAGCATACCTAGCTTCAGTGATGGGGCCTGGACCCCACGCGCGGGAGAATGCCGACTCTCTGCTTCAAAACTGCTGTGCACCACTTCCGCCTTCACCTGGCTTTCTCCTCTGTTCCTCTTCGGCTCCTCTGTGCTTCCTCGTGTCTCCCCCACAATATTTGGTTTGGGGGTTCTGGCACACGCTGTGCAACTGTGTCTCTGCTACAGCCCGGGGAAGTAACTCTATGAGCGGCTTCAAATGTGGATTTACCACGCAGGGGAGCTCCAGCTTCTGATCCCAAAGATGTGAGGAGGAAGGCCACCGACCCAAATCATCATAGCTTAATTAATTAAAGCAAGCTTCTTCATTCCTGTATACAGGCTGCCTTTCCCTAAGATGGGGTACAAGAGCTCAGCATTGGTCACGAGGAAATAAGGTTTTCACAGCTCAGGGATGCCGGTTTCCAAGTGGGGCTTTGGTGGGATTATAGGAGCAGAGCATAAGCATAACAAGTTAGTCATAATGACCTTCTGAAAGAGAAGCGTAATTACAAGGTGGTCATGACAACAGGTATTCATAACAACCTTTTGAAACAAAGGTAGGGAGGCAAGATGGTTATAAACAGCTTCTGAAACAGAAACACGGTTGCTGTTTCCTGGAACAGGCAGCACGGAGCCATTTGTAGTTAAGGTCACAGATGGGGCATTGCCCAGTCCTTGAGAAACAGAGGTTTAATCATAACAGGAAGGAACAGTTGGTCTTCTGTAAGATGGCTTTTACACGTAAGATGTAGGCAGGCTGGTTCATCCCAGCCCCAGAGCCCCTCCCTTGAGCAGGTGGAAATGGCCTTGGCTCTTGTGCTTACTCAATTAAATGATGGTAACAGTTCTAACCACGTCAGTCAAACTGCCTTCCTTTCCCACTCTTGTATCACGCTTCTCCTGGGTCAGCCAGCGTTAGAACGGAGGCCAGCGTTTCGGGCATCCACCAGAAGGAAGTTGAATTAGGGACATATTAGGTTGGGGATAAGTGGGATGCGTATAGTGTAGAACGTTGCTCATTGCAGCCCTGGCATAACAATGGCTGAAAGGAATAACCCCACTGCATAGTGTGTCAGCTCCCTTGACACTGAGGCATGAGGCTGGAGGTTGCATTCTGGAGCACTTGTCCCTGGCTCTGGAAGGACATGGGTGTGGAAGAAGGCAACTTCTTAAATGTGTTGAGCCAGAAAAGCAAGTGTCTGAAAAGTTTCTATGAATATGAGAGACAACATTTGAAATAGAAAACAAACCTCTCAGAGCCTGCGAGACAGCTCAGCTGGTAAAAAGTGTTCCACTGAGCCTAATACATCAAGTTTGCTATCTGGGACACACAGGAGGGAAAGAGAGAGCTGACTCCTGGGCGTGCATGTGTGTGTGCATGCACTCGTGTTGCTGGGGACAGAAGGCTGTGAACAGATGTGAACACCTGCAGACAACAGATGAGTTATTCAGAATCAGAGACATCAGAACTCACAGGATCCTTTATTAGGAAGAACTAGAGTCTTCATAGGAATAAAAGAGCCCTGGAAGTTGAGGTGATGGGGGTGTTACACTGAGAAGGGGTCAAGGTTGAAGCGCATTACATCTGAAGAGAAGCTGGGGTGATGGAAAGGGAATAAGCAAATTTTGGGGTCTATTGTGGGAACAGCCAAAGTCTTAGTGGGTATGACTTGGCCAGTGCCAGCCAATCCAGAGCATCTGTTGGGTTCACGGAAGGAAGCCAAGACCTGGAGCCTCTTCCAGCTCAACCTTGTAGCCAGGAAGACAGGGCTGCAAGACACAAGGGTCAGGATGGAGATGCTTGGCTTCAGTCACCGTAGCAACCAGATCTTTCAGCTAATTGCTGAGAGCTGCCATGGGAGCATACAGCAGGTGACAATTAGTGCTCAACATGCCAACCCATCAGATCCATGATTTCCTGATGGGGAGCCCCACTTGGAGAGGTCATGGGGTCACAGGCTGTGGAAACCAGTTGCTCCTGTCTGTAATTTCTTCTAGTCATCAAAATTATACATATTAAGCATCATCTTCCTGACTGTCTACAGCTACACATATGCCCAGTAGATGGAATATTTTCATGAGATAAACACACAAGCAGTGGGGCTACACCCAAAGCTGTTATTAGGGAAGAAATGAAGTGACACATGAGAGAAATTACAGACAGGAACAATTAGTTTCCATAACCCATGACCCCATGGCTTTGACAAGGAGGCCTTCTCACCAGGGAACCATGTGTCTGATGGGTTGACCCACTGAACACGTAACACCTGTATACGCCCACAGCAGCTCTCGGCAGCTAACGGAAAGGGAAGGGATAATTTTCACATCCTCAGGCATGCAAGGAAACTGAAGGGATGTGAGTGCTGGGCTCAGAGTAACTACACCTTCTGAGTGATAGCGCTTTATTCCTGTTGTTTCAGGGTGGTGACCCTGGCAGCTCGCATGCTCCTTCTCTGAGCTGGCCTGGGCACTCCCCGCTCCTGTGTGTGTTCCCACTACTCACCTCAGACTTGCAGGCATCCCTTTGCCAACTGCCTCCCTCCTATCCTCTCTTTCCCATCTCCTTCCATGTGCACCTCCAGGACTGCTCAGGTCTTGGAAAGCACTGATGCTCGCATAGCTGGAGGTTGGGGACCTTGAGCACTTACGCTTCTTTTTACAGATGGCGATACAGACATCTTTGCTTTGGAAGTTGTTAAGGTTCCCTTGGCAACCACCATAGATGAATTCAGTACAGGTCTTAGTTTCTTTATTATACCACCAGCGTCGAAAGGAAGCCAAGCAGGGCCCAGCAACCTGTGGCAGACTGCATACGTCTGTGGGGGAATCATGGAGACAGATACTTGGACGCCTGTCTCCTAGGGGACAACCCCATCCCTCCCTCCCTTTGTCTATCTCAGCGCCTTGCTTCCAGGTCAGTGGCAACTCTGACCAGTCACTGCGGCCTCTTTGGTCTTGGTTTCCTCATCTGCAGGATGATAACACAAAGTACCACCTTGTTTGTCGGGACAGGACTGCCGCAGGAGCAGATGTGGCCATGGCACACAGCTCTTTCACTGTCTCTCCTCAGCATCGGAACCATGACTTAGTGATGATTCTGTTTCATAAATGGCTCTCTTTTCTTTCCTCTCTGACAGGAATGGCCACCATCTAAGTTCAAACATCTCCAGTCTACTGGACATGAGGTTCCAGAGTAACTGATCCACTAGCTCAGGACAAAGTTATCTCCCAAACCCCAAAATCCAGTCAGTGGTGGCACACACCTTTAATCCCAGCACTCGGGAGGCAGAGGCAGGTGGATCTCTGTGAGTTCGAGGCCAGCCTGGTCTACAAGAGCTAGTTCCAGGACAGCCTCCAATGCCACAGAGAACCCCTATCTGGAAAAAAAGGAAAAAAAAGACATCAGCTGATTGCCAAATCCAAAAATCCATGTCTGCCCTCTCTGCAGCTTCTCTCTTTTGCTTCTCCCTCTTGAACGTCACCGTGTTCTCCCCTCTCCATGCCTTCACACCTGCTCAACTCTAGAGCTGCTCTTGCTGGCAAGACACACTCCTATTCATTCTTCAAAACCCTTCCAGTAGCCAGGTGTAGTGGCATTCACCTGCACTTGGGAAGCTGAGGCAGGAGGTTTGCAACAATTTCAAGGCTGCCTTGAGCTGTGTGGAAAATCCTGTCTCCAATATCCAAACACTCCCAGGTGTCAGAGCCTTTCTGATGTCTCCTGGGTCCACATTTTACCCCTTGATTTTTGTGCATCCTTTTTATGTCTGTGATGAGGATTTGTGTTGGGTTTACCCATATTTTCTGACTGCTGGAGAATGTGAGCTCTTCCTGTACCTTAGCCTGGTACAGCAGTTCTGAGAGGATCATTGGGCAAGGAGTGGACATTTCAGGAATGTTCTCAGAAGGAAGGAAGGAAAGAAGCAAAGATCCCAAACTTAAGCATTTCATGAACAATTAACCCCCCACTGGAAGATACCATCACAACCACACAAGTTTAGCTATTCAAGTGCTGCCCATAGGGTTTAGCATTTGACACAAGCTAAACTTCCCCCTGTGTGGCAGCCCTCTTACTGTTCTCATTGTACAGGTAGAGGACCTGAGACTTGGAGAAGTGCGGTGACTCTCCTGATGTCACATAGCTGGTGAGGGAGTTAAATGTAGATGACCCACCAGGTATGGTGGTGCACGCTTAGAACCCCAGACATCAGAAGGCTGAGGCAGGAGGATGTCAGAACTAAAGAAGACCACAGTCAGAGGTCGGGACCACAGGAAGGAGCAATTCCAGACCCCCAAGTGCCCTCCCTCGTCCAGCTTCCCCTTCTCTGCTTGCCCGTATTTCCAGGCCTGGTCATTTGTCTCCTAACACAGAGCCTTCCCATGATTGCCTGCTGCTGTCTGGAGGCTACTCCTCCCTGTGTTTGCCTGAACAAGACCCAAGTTCAGATTCCAAGTTCTACGTGCTTTCCCCAGGAAAAGCTTAGGTGGCCACAGTGAGCAGGTGGAGTCCATCATCGGTGTCACTAACACCCGCAAATATTTGTTGATTGATAAAATGAGTGAATAGTTTTGACAGTCTTTTGTAGAGCTCAAGGATATGAGCAGAGAGAAGGGAGTATGGGAGGCTAAGTTGATGAGGTCAGGAGTCCTGGGTTTTATGTTAGTCCGAGGCCGGGACAAACAAGCCAGGGGAAACCCTACACCTGCCTTCGCTTATGCACTCAGACACACTGTTGCTCTTAATGAGACTTTGGTAGTTACTTGGCATCTCGGAACAGCACCTGAGAGTAGCCAAGGGGTCACATGATTCAGTAACAATATCCATCTTATAAAAGGGACAACCGAGGTTCAAAATGGAATGGCCTAGTCTAGATAAAAGGCTCATTAAGAGCACTTACTGCCCTTTCAGAAGACCCGGGTCCAGTTCCCAGGCCCCACATGGGAGCTCACAACCACTTATGTCACCAGTTCCAGGGACTATGATACCCTCTTCTCTCCTCCATGGGCACTGTACGCATTTGGTGTGCATACATACATGCAAGCAAAACATCCTTACACATAAAAATCATAATCTTTTTAAAAGAAAAAGTGATATTGTTCACTTCCTATACTGAAATGGAAGAAAACTGAAAAAGGACAGTGTCCTGGTCCAGCACTGTCAAACTCTGCACCAATCAGCTGCTGTGAGAATCTTGGGGAAAAAATAACCCTCAGGGGAAGAGAAGGCAGTGCCAGGATAGGAGGGCAGGAACTTTCCAGAGGACCAGCCAGGTACCTTCGTTGGGGTCCACACATTTTTTCCCGCAGGCAAACATGCAGCACCTCTTGTTGTCTGGACACTGTCTGACCCTTGTACATTGGCTTCTTTCTTCAAGTCCACATTTCACTCTGTCTCTTGGGCACGATCCTACAGCAGGAGAAGGTGTGGTTCCTTGAGGTGTTGAAGGAGATACTGTTGTCCCTTCCCGGTCCCGGGGCACCACTGCAGAGCTGAAACCCTCAGGGTTTCACAGCACTGGCCACAGCTCCACTATGTTGCCTGAGCACCTAACCCCCAGGACTTCCCTCGCCCTCTCTCCACCACCTACAAGATCCCCCCGCAAGAGGGACCGCTGCTTTGCGACTGCTCCGATCATTTGCCTTTGCCTTGGCTGACCCCGTGGCTCTCACTGTTTGCCTAGATTGCCGTCCTGAATGTGGTCCTGAAGGTTAATGGAGCAAAGTTTGAAAAGCCTTGGTCAAGATGCCTGGGCTAAAAGCACGGAGGTTGATACTGACGAAGCGCTTACTAAGCACGTGGCCTGTCTCCTTCCTCCTCCCTACACAATTCCGAGTGAGCCCTCTCAGTGTTCCACAGTGAACAGAGGCATCCACAGCAAGGGATGCCTTCGGGCATGCGCAGGGCCACGCAACTACCAAGGAGTGGACCCGGAATTCCCACCTGACACGTGGCCTTCGAAGCCTTCACTTTGCCCTCTACCGTCAAGTGCTCAGTGTGTTTTAGTGGATAAGGATGAAGTCTCCAGGCTTCACCATTGAAGGGACCCTGGGGGCTGTTGCTTAGCGCACAGGTAAGGTCCTGTGTGGATGCAGGACAGCTTTGGGAGCTCAGTGGTTGTGAAGGGAGAGGCTCACCCTTAAATGAAAACCCCGTTGGCTATTTAATCCCCAGTGTCCATTTAATGCACACTAGTCCTGGCACCTCCATGAAGCATTCCTTAAAATGGTGGAGAGTCGACTGCCACAGACCGAGGACTCTGTGTTCACCCAGGACGTCTCTCCAGGACGGTGGGAAAACAATGATCCCAAACATCTCACTCCCACGCGGGGCCCGAGGCTGCAGTGGGAAAACACTCCCGTGTGCAGCGGGTTTTGTTCTTCGGCCCCAGGAAGTTTCTTCTCTCCGTGATAAGAACTGTACCCCAGTACTTACTGACAAAGAACCCCTCTGCCAGCTCAGGTTCCCAGATGCCCCACAGGAAGATGAAGGGGCCCAGGAATGGCAGAAGTCCCCAGAGCCTCATTTTAGGAAGCAGTATCCTGGTTGGAGGTCGTACGCTGGGAGGAGCAGGTCAGTGGCTCCGGCCTCTGCTCCGGGGCTCTGTGCCCCAACCTCCCAGGAAAGCGAATCTGGACAGGAGCCAGTCATGTTCCCTCCCGGAGGCCATCAGTGGCCTAACTACCCACAGTGCACACTGGAGGAAAGGTCTCTGACCTGTGGTCTGGGCCTCTGCAATCTGAGGTTCTCTGGCTCTCTGACCTACTAGGGAGAGGGGTGCACTTGCTTGGGGTCTTCTAGAATCTCTTAGCAAAGTTATGTGAATTCTAGAACCTTCCATTTCCTGGAGGCAAATTGCAGTTTGGTAACATCCTATCCTTTTCCTCTGTGATTCTTCTCTTCTTGAGGTTTTTTTTTAATACCTTTTCTCCCTCCATTCTTTCCTCTTTCCCTCTTCCTCCCTTCTCCCCATCCCTCTCTATTTCTTGAGACAGGTCCCATCTACCCCAGGCTGGTCTCAAACTTGCTATGTAGTGGAAGACTGCTTCCTCTGCATCCACCCCAGTGCTGGGATTACAGACCTGCCCTGGTTTACCTGGGGCTAGGGGTGGGGCTGGGGGCTGCATGCATGCTAGGCAAGCACTAGACCAATCAAGTTTGGTCCTGCCTTGGCTGCTTCTTGTCCTCATCTCTGGCCTAATTATCTGTGTTTCTTACCCAGTGCCTCCTTCCTCTCCTTTTCAAAGCCTGAGCCTCTGTCTCCTTACCCTCCAGGTCCCTTTGGTTTTCCTCTCTCGTCTTTGGCTCGCTTGTCTTCTTTTGTCACCATCCAAGGGTCAAGACTGTCAGGTGAGCACAAACCTAGGGTTCCTGGTGAGCATGTGGACAGATGATGCTGTCTCAGGGACAGGGAAGTAGTGGCTCTCGGGGCCTCTGTCACAAGAGGCCACAGGATGCAATGGCTCAGAGTCAGCTGCAGGAGGGACCAAGTGACTCTTACATTTCTGGAATATTCCCTCATCTCAAACCTTGGCGCATTAGTGAGGGAGTGGATGCAGTGTGGACCCATGTGAGCAATGCAGGGGAGACTGAGGCAGGGACTGCAGGCTGCAGCCGGATGCACTCGGCTCACCCAGGACTTCTCCTGAAGCTGCGAGACATTTCCATGGCATCCACTTTGAAAACCGTGTAGAATTCCTCCAGATAAAATCCACCATTTTCAGGTCAACGATATGGAACCTGTCTTCTTCCTTTCTTAGTACATTCATGTGACTGTGGGTCATAACTACTGGTTCTAAAATGTTTTTTTCACTCTAGCTGTAAACCCTGGTTTGTGAGCAATCACTCTCTAGCCTCCAGCCCACTCCAGCCCCTGAGACTGCTTCCCATCTTATAGATTTTCTTTTTCTTTGCCCGTGGTGTGTTTTCAGTTCAGGGCCTCACACTAACAAATGCTCTACCTCTGAGCTACGTTTGTAGCCCTCTTCTTCCTCTTTTTAAACATTTTGAGACAGAGTCTCACTACCTTACTCCAGTTGGCCTTGAATATGCAATCCTCCTGCCTCCTACAGCCCTGAGCCACCATGCCCATCCTGCCCTGGATATTTCTTCTGTGTGGAGTCATGCAATGAGGTGTGGTGGTGCGGGGATAGGAAGACAGTCTTCAATGCCGGTTTCCCTCTTCGCCTATGCTTGAGGCAGGGTCTCTGCAGTCTGTTGCTCTACTGTGTGGGGGTGGAGAGGTACCTTGGTCCTGCCTCAAGGAGATGATGGGACAGACTTAGTAGACTTCCTAGGGGAGGCCTTACCCTCTTTGTGGAGCATATGGGAGGAAGGGAGGGAGGGGGAGTAGTGGGATTGGAATGTAAAAAATTAAATTAATAACAAATGTAAAAAAGGGGGGTGGCTGACAATAATAGTGAGGGATGAAGGAAAACCAGCCCTGCCCCTGTTATTAACTCATTAGTTCAATATGGCCTGGTTTTGCTTCAATCCACTCATGTGAAAAATGGATTTGTCAAGATTGTTTCTGTTCATGCTAGGATTCACATAGCCTACAGACACCGGAAGATCTGCCAGACAACACACAGAAGGACTTAGGGATATTTTGTGTGGATTCCGTATTTCTTCCTGAAGTTAAGGGACCTGCAGTCTGCAGGGGTCTTCTTCTAATTTTATTGTGATTATGGTCATGATTGGCTAGGGGTGCATGTGGGGGCACCAGAGGACAACTTTGTACAATTGGTTTTCTCCTTCACCTATATGTGGATTTGGGGGATTAAGCTCTGGTTGGGGGCTTCTCCCTGCGAGCTATCTCACTGGTACCTCTTCTCTCACCAACTAATTCTTACAAACCACGTCTTGAGTCAGGCGTGGTGGTGCACACACTCAGGAGGCAAAGGCAACGAACCTCTGAGTTCAAGGCCAGCTTGGTCTACATAGTGAGTTCCAGGGCAGCCTGAGCTACACAGTGAGACCCTGTGTCTAGACTGAACAAGATATCACTCCATATAGAATGGGCTCCACTAAGTCAGTTTGTGCATTAGAGTTAGATCTTGGACCACTGCCAGTGGCCTCATATATTGCCCCAGTCACACCATTGTCACCTATATTAAGGGAGTCTAGTTTGGTCTTATGCAGATTCCCTTTTGTCAGACCTGAGTCAGTGATCTCTCACTAGCTTGGGTCAGCTGATTCTGTGGGTTTCCCCATCACGGTCATGACTCCTTTGTTCATATTATCGCTCCTCCCTCACTTCAATTGTACTCCAGGAACCGGGACCGTTGGCTAGTTGTGGATTTCTGCAGCTGCTTCCATCTGTTTCTGGGAGAGGGTTCTAGCTTCTCTGGGTTTGTGGATTGTAGGCTCTATGTCTGGTGTCCACTTAGGAGTGAGTACATACTATATTTGTCTTTCTGGTTTTGGGTTACCTCACTCAGGATCCACCCCTTTTTTTTGAGACAGGGTGTCATGTAGCCCAGGCTGGACTAACCCTTTGTGTAGATTTGGATTTCTGGTCTTCCTGCCTTCACCTCCAGGGTTCTGGGATGACAGGTTGAGGTCTTCACATCAGGTTGATTAGACCCAGAGCTTCATGATGCCAGACAAGCACTCTGTCACCTGAGCTACACCCCAGCCCAGTACTTATTCTGCTATAACTCCGTTATGTCTGGGGGCTCTGGTTTGCCCTGGTTCTACAACAACGCACCGGGCAACTCTTCAGAAGAGTCTGATTGCCCACAACAAACCCAGGCCTCACAGCATCTTTTTAAAATTGATTGTGTGTGTGTGTGTGTGTGTGTGTGTGTGTGTGAGTGTTTTGCCTGTATGAATGGATATCTGTGTACTACAAGCATGGGTGGTACCAGAAGAGACCAGAGGAGGAGTCAGATCTCCCGGAACTGGAGATATCGATGATTATAAGCAGCTTCATGATTGAAGGGAGTCAGACCCAGGTCCTGGGGAGGAGCACCCGGTGCCTGCTCTTACCTACCCAGTTATCATTCCTGCCCACCCTGACACTATGTTGGCAAATGAATCCCTTCCATTCAAAACAGACTCATTCTGTGCTAAAGTTCCAAATTCCCCTGCCCCCGCAAGCACACAGAGCATAACCAAGTAAGTAAGCAACAAATAATTTTAATATATCCATATTCCATGTATCTATATGTTCCACAGTAATGCAACTGTGTTCCAGGGGTAGACAGAGGTTTGGGAAGACTGTCGATGGATGTGCTTTCCTGTCATGCCTACCCTGGGAACTATCCTTTCTAATGACGGGCTACAGGCTAATCTGATCAACTAATTCTCCAGACTGGATTGATAGACATAAATGAGTTAAACTGTAAACCAAAAGAATTGCTGGAGCATATGACCTCAGCCTTCCGCGGAGCTCTGCAGTCTCTGCCTGGAGAACTTGAGCTCATGGGGAAGGTAGGACTTTTGGCATTTACTATTGCTACTCGTCTCCTGACAAGTGTGTATCAAGGCATGCCCATCACCATGTCTGATCAATTCTCCTGTCATGGGTAGGTGTTTTTGTTTTTGTTTTGTTTTGAAGGGAAAATGGAGGTTCGATGAGGCTAAATGACTAAGCTGAGACCATACAGCTGGTAACATGGTGAGCCCAGGAAAATGCAAGTCTAACTCCAAACACAAGTTTTCTACCATTCTATCTTGATTCTGTACTGATGCATCAGATTTTCACACTGTTTCCTCTGCATTCCCCCAACAACAAGGCTGCCTGCCATGCTAGAATGTATCCCATTTTCTGGATGAGTAAAACTGAGGAGCTAAGTTATGCCCAAATCATGATTATTGACTTGGAGTTAACATCCCCATTAGTGAGGAGTCTTGGGAGCTATTATAAAACCTGTAGGGGTGGGGGCATCAGAATTATTTCGAAGGCAGAGAAGGGGGCTGCCCTGTGGCAAATTGTTACACTGTTGCTTCAGGAGCTCTGGGAAAGATGCTCCAAGCCATGGTCACAGCTCAAGCTCTGAAACTTTACAGGTAGAACTCACACAGGCATCTGTTGCATCAAGACATCCCTCTTCCCTTCCCCCTCCTCCTCCTCGCTGTTTCTGAAATGTGTTTATCTGGAGTAAGCTAGAGACAGCACTGGGCCTTCTCATCTTGAAGGAAAATCATGTGGGAGGCCATGGCTCATCAGGCAAAGGCTCTTACCTAAGTTCTGCCCCTAGAACTCACAGTGAAAGGAGAGAACACACACACACACACACACACACACACACACACATGCACGCACTAAAAATTTAAAAATGCATAAGGGGCATGAGCAAACATGATGAAACTGGCACTTGAAAGGCGGGTTATCTGTTTGTCAAGTTGTCTGGATGAATCATAAGATGCTAGAGTTGTGTGGAGCCAGAAGAAATGAGAAGAATCTCTTTGTTAACAGAAGGTCATTCGAGGTGTGTGTGTGTGCGTGCATGCATATGCCTGTGTGTGTCTGTACGTCTGTGTGTGTATGTGTGTGCATATATGTCTGTCTGTGTGTACGTTTGTGTGTATGTTTGTGTCTGTGTGTGTTTGTGTGTGTATAATTGTATGTCTGTGTGTGTGTATGTTTGTGTATGTCTGTGTGTAAGTCTGTGTGCATGTGTGTGTGTTTATGTACATGTGCCTGTGCTATTCTGAGGCGGCACCAAAACTCTGTACTTTCTGCCCAGGTCTCCAGACAGCCTCATGCTGTCCTGTCATCAGTGGAGCAAAGCCAGCACAGGAGAGTCACTCGGCAGCTGTTCCAAAGGAAGCCCTGTGATGATTCAAGTGTGACCTCTTACCCAGAGTGAGGCAGTGGGAAAGTGACCAAGAAGGACCAGGTGTAGCACTGGATGGGGTGCCATGGAGAGTCCTGAAGTGACTGTCCCAGACCTGTCTTAGCTGGCTTCCTCAGACAGATCCCTCTGGCTTCCGGCTCTGTTTCTCACCCATGAAGTAAGTGGGGCTGGGAAACTCCCCTCACGGACTGTGCTTCCCTCTGACCTGCCTAACTCAGGTCCCTGCTCTCACATCGCACAGGCATCTTCCCCTCCGTGGCTCTGCCTGCCCCTGGAGGAATGGAGCTCTCCTGTTGCTTCTTCTCCTCTCCTTGGAGCAGACTTCAGCGTCACACACCTTCAAAGTCAAACGTGTATCATTCTTCCTGGGAAGTGCTCGAGGCAAAGGCTAGTATTGGTTGACAAGGGCTGGGTTGTCAACACAGCTACTTCCTTCACCTGTTTACCCCAATTTATTTCCCTAGCTTTCCTATGCGTCTTCAAATTTTTAAAACATGATTATTCATTAGTCATGATCTGAAAAAAGAGGGGCCAGGGAGGACGCTATTGCAACAGTAGAGGTAAGCCATGACAGGAGTCTGGCCTTACTCTGAGAAAGGTTCAGCAAGATAGAGTGTGGATGGTGGTAGGGAGACTTAAGAAGCAGAATTGACCCAAATCCTGAATGGGTCCAAATCTGGGGTCAGGGGAGTAGAGGTAAGCCCTTTCTTCAGTGGTGTTTCATAACTGAATTGTTGATGTGTTGAAGGGCAAGATGGGGAACAGAGCACGAATGCTTTCGGCCTGCGAGACACAGGTCCTGCGGTAAACACATTGAAACAAAGGCTCTGGAGAGCCCTTGAATAGCTTTTCCTTAGATAACTGGAAACAAAGGTCTTCAATTCAGGATAGAGGATGGGCTTGGGGGAAAGATACCAGAATCAGAGGAATGGAAGAGTCCAGGAAGTTCAAGAGACAACTGAGACCAGGAACCGTGTGTGCACACAAGCTAGGTGACTCAGAAGAGCTGTCCAGGGAGGAGGGAGCACTCAAAACGACAAGCTGACAAAAGTGGGAAGAACGTGCAATAACAAGCCCACACAAAGTTCTAAGTGTCCCCGGAAGCAGAAGGAAGGGTTAGGAAGGCTGGAGTTAACACGAGTAAGGCGGGGGTTGGGCTGTATAACCTCGAAGATTCCCTGTCTGTGCCTCTTGACCACCGTGAGGTAACTCCACGCTGTCTGTCTAGCTTTTCTTTCGCTTAAGCATAGCATCCGGATGCCTGCCTCAGCATGGCATGGGCTATCTCTATAAAACAGAGCCGCCTAGGCCTTACTTCCTGGGGATTCTCGTGTAGTTAATCGTTCTGAACGATGCACAAATCAACACTGAGCATGAGAGACAGCCTTGCCTTCTGGCCATCCTCACTGAGCATGCCAGAGTTGCGTGAAGGGCAGGAAGCATGGTGGCCGCTCCTGAAGTGAGCTTTGTAAATCCCCACCTTTTCAGTCATCCTACCTGATGACATAACCCTGTGATCTGGAGAAACCAGGGGGCTGGCACTGGCATGTGGGCCTTCCCTTCCAAAGTTTCGTAGTCCCAAAATCCAACAAGGCCCTGCCTCCTTGATTAATTCCTGATGGTGGGTGCTCAGTTTAGAGCCAAGGAGCCCCACATTAGCCACCTGCTGCTATAGAACCTCTATCTGGAGGTCAGGAGTCTGACAATGCATCTGGGCTCTCAGATTCTCACCAGGCTGAGAGCTCTGGGCCAGCCCGGGCTGCAGTTCTCATCTGGGACTCTGGGTCCTCTTCTTGCAGTATAATCATTTTCTTACAGTTTTATGTCTGGGACTCTTGTTTCTATAGTGACATTAGCTTCTAAAGGCCACGCTCACTTCCTGTGGCTTGCCCCTCTGCCATGGTCAAAGCTGCTGAGTTAGCATGTTGGAACCTTCCCACAACTTGAATATCCCCAACTTTCTGCCAGCCAGAAAACCCTGCTTTTAAGTGACCCTATTGGTTAGGTGTGGCCCAGTTGGATTACCTCTGTCTTAAGGCTGCCTGGATTAGGACTTGAATTGCACCTACAAAGTCCCTCATAGCATGCCTAGACTAACGCTTGATCTAATAACGAGATGATAGGAGTATTGGAGCACAGCTTTAGAAGTCTGGCCACCACAAACCACGAAGCCAGGAAGTCATGCCATGCACTTGAAGGAAAGGAGGCAACCTCGTAACTGCCTGGATTTGACTCAGACGCACACAGTAGTGAGTGTATCATGGGCATCATCCACTCAGTTCCTATGAGCAGACTCTAAGGTAGGGATCACCATTCTCATCTAGTAGATGGGAAACTTATGACTCAGATAATGAAAAGTATTTTCAAATATTATTTCTCTAGTTACTGGTGGAGCCAAGCTAGCAAGGCCAGATCTGTCTGATGGTGGTCCTTCCTTCTTCTGCCCTACAAACCAGTTTTCTCTCTTAGAGCTAACTAACTCAGAAAGCCCTGTAACTGAACTCAGACTGGTCCTGAGTATGCACAAGATGCCAGGGACCAAAGTCAGGACTCCTGGCTCCTATGCTCCTTAGCAGCTGCTGACTCATCAGCCTCCCTGCTGACTCAGCGCTGGAGGGAAGAGACTTAAGCATTAAAGTCATCGGGTCACAGGTTGCTGTGTCGCCACCTAATTGCATGCACTGGAATCCAAGATGGCTTCTCTTCAGTTACCTGAGTTCAGCTCTGTCGGAAGGAACCAAGTGTGGAGAGAGACAGATGTGGCCCCTAAGTATAAGGGAAGAACTGAGAGTCAGGCAAATGAAAGGGGATGAGGTCTTCACAGCTCACTGTTGCCATGGGGAAAGGAGCTGAAATGCTCAAGGATATGGGCTTGGGCATCTCTTTCTTGCAGAAAAAGTGGGTGTGTGCCCCAAGAAGCGGTTGGAATGCAAAGACAGGGTTCCACACGCGTGCACAACAGACTTCAACTGCGAGGCGAATCTCAAGTGTTGCTCTTTTGCCTGTGGAAGAGTCTGCATGGACCCCTATGAAGGTACTGGCATCAGGTGGGAGGCTGGGTGCTCTAGAGGGGTCCCACTCCTTGCTGTGTCCAGCACTGGCCAAACAGTCCTCGCAGATGGCGGGACCACACGCCAGTGCATACGCCTCTCTCATTCTGTAATTTAACTCTCTGTGGCTAAGTCCAAGTCATGAGTCCAAGTAGTTAATATTGATGCTAGACTTCTCTTTTTGACATTCAGTCATTCACCAATAACTAGTGCCTTTTCTGTGTCCACTATGCATTAAAGCTATTGTTTGAAAAATCAAACTTCATTCTAACTATTGTTTGAGAAATGAAACATCCAGCAACTCAGATGCTTGAATCATATTGGACCCTTTGGTCTTTTTTTTTTTTTTACTTTTTTTAATTTAAATTAGAAACAAGATTGCTTAATATGTCAATCCCAGTTCCCTCTCTCTCTCCCCCTCCTCTCCCACTCCCCATTCCCCCAAACCTCCCAGCCCCCCAACCTCTGCTGCCCAGGGAGGGTGAGGCCTTCCATGGGAGATCTTCACCCTTTGGTCTTTAAAGGGGCTTTCTAGAAACCCCAACATACAGCGACCAAACATTTAATAGAAATTCCTTCCTTCCTCAATTTTGCAAGTATCTAATTAATATATTAAGATAGGGGCCAGACACAGTGGTGCCCACCTTTAATATTAGCACTTGGGAGGCAAAGGCAAGTAGATCCTTTTGAATTCCACTACAGCCTGGTCTATATACAGAGACTCTGTCTCAAAAAGACAAAAAGATAGTATTGACTCTTCATATCTCAAAATTGAAATTACACAGGGGACATGAAGAGAGACATGGAAACGGGGCTTGGGTGGGTGAAGAGACCCGTGCACCTGCAGTATAGAAGTGTCTAAGAACCCGAGCTCTATTAACTCAAAGTCATCTGAGGTCAACTTTCGATTCTTTCAGCCTAAGACTACCATGAATACACTTGCTGAACAAGTTGGGTCTATTGCTCATGGCCATCCCGGAGAATATTCATCACAGACAGCCCTGAGGCATCTATCTCAGTAAAGATCTGTTTGAGTCCATCAGGAGATTTGGGTAATTCAGAGAGGGCTAGAGAAATGAGGGTTAGCTCTACTTTGGATATTGTCCAAAAATGGGTTAATTCTATTGCTGAGCATCTATGGCTCTTATCTCTAAATAGTGGTTCTTATCTCCAAAGAGGATTCTCAAGGTGAGGATAACTTGCCCTCTCAGAGCTCAAGGCACTCAGGAAGAGGTATCTGCTCCAGAGTGTTTCTGTGTGCTGTTTGTATGCTCCATAAGAAACTGGTGATGCACAGAACTCTACAACGTCATGCATTTGCTGTAGAGCAGGATTAGACCGTGTCTTTTTAAAACATTTGCTGATATTTCACGTGTGTGGTTGTCTTGTCTGCATGTATGTTTACTGGTGCCTGTAGAAGTCAGAAGAGGGTATCAGATCCCCCTGGAAATGGAGTAATAAACAGTTGTGAGCTACCATGTGGATGCTAAGAATCAAGACTATGTCTTTTAAAAAGAAAATTTGGGGCCCTGGAGAGGTAGCTCAGCAGCTGAAAGCACTTGTTGCTCTTGCAGAGGGCATGTGTTCAATTCCAGGAGATCTGTCTCTCTCTTCTGGCCCCAGAGGGTACTGTACACACAATGCATGCATATACATACCTGGAAACAGAACACTCGTGAAATCAGAGGGGGATTAAAAGAAAAACTGCTACATGTGTTTATTTTTATTTTGTTGTGGAGGGTGTCATGGCACATTTGTAGAAGTCAGCAGACAATTTGTGGGAGTTGGCTCCTTCCTTCTTGGAGATCCAATTCAGGCCATCGGGGTTGGTGACAAATGCCGTAACTCGCTGAGCTGTCTCCTTTGCCCACCTGTGCCTTTTCTCACTGGCTTTTCCTGTGAGTAGAGTGTGATGAAGGCTTGTGGTTGGAGCCTGACCTCCTCTTTTCAAGCCTTGCTTTACTTCTGCACCTCAGAACCCTGCATGTTACCCTCGGCCACAGGAGACTGCCACCAAAGTTTGACTCGCTGGTATTTTGACTTTGAGAAACAACATTGCAGACCCTTTAAGTATAGTGGCTGTCGTGGGAATGCCAACAACTTCCTCAGCAAGAATGACTGCAAGGATGCCTGCATGCTAATTGGTAAGACCCATGTCCCTAGTATTTGAGGTTCTTGCTTAACTACTAACATTACACTAGCATAGCTATAGCCTCTGGCTTTGAGGCTAAGCTGCCTTAGATACAAACCCCAGCTCTATATTTGCTGCTTGAGAGGCCTTCGGCCAACAGCTTGCCTTCTTGATTTTTGGCTGGGATATAAAATTGGGATATTAACAGTATTTACCTAAAGGAGCTGTTATGATCAGAAATCAAGATTGTAAGACTTGTGAGTCTGGGAAATGAGAGGAAAGAAAGCAGACAGGAGGCCTCTGGAAGCCAGGCCATGTCTCAAAGTGTTCCCGTGGGCTGCCCTCTCTCTGCATTCACCTTGGCATGCCTACACAGGGAAGTCTTGAGGTCAGAGAATGGCAAGGGAAAGGCATGGGCCCTCCTGCTCCAAGACACCTTTTGGTCTCCATCTTTTTGTTTGTTTGTTTGTTTTTTGAGACCAGGTTTCTCTATGGCTTTGGAGATTGTCCTGGAACTCGCTCTTGTAGATCTTGTACACCAGGCTGGTCTCAAACTCACAGAGATCTGCCTGCCTCTGCCTCCCGAGTGCTGGGATTAAAGGCGTGAGCCATCATCACCCAGCTCTAGATGCCTTCTGCCCACCTAGTCTTGCGTTGTCTACAGGTAAACACCTAGAGTCCTTGAACTTACTTCAAAGCTCTTTAGCTTCCAAGTAGCACTAAGTAATCTCAAGAGTCCAGCCCCTTCCCCTCTCTTGGGCAATCAGGTACCTGCCTTGGACTTTCTCTTCCCAAAAGTGGGTTTTTAATACCACTCTCCTGAACACTCTGATTCTTCTCCACCCTTACTTCAGGGCTGAATCTTACTCTTCCAGCTCTCAATGTTATACTCTGGCTACCCATGACTTCTCTATTCTTGAAATTTCCCCCAACCCCTCCAAATGAGACAATACGCAAAATATGCCCATAAACATTGGCCTGTAGAGCCTAAAGCCCAGCTCTAATTCTTTGAAGAAAGTTGTTTCTCATCACATCAACCTGTTGAGCATCATCCTGAGGAACCACCATAGGAGGAAGCATAGATGGGTCCATCCCAAAACCCCAGGGAGAAAGTGCAGCCCTGGGAGACTATGGTGAAGGTGGGAGACTACAGATTCGTTCTTTGGTTCAATGGTCAGTACCGACAATGCTAGGAGCCAGTGCGCTATGGGGTTTATGCAACATTTAATGGGGATTAAAAGCCTACTCTCCTTGGTCTACTCCAAGTTTCTTTGCCTTGAGCTATCAGGTGCCTGAATTGTTGGCAGGATATGATGGTATTTTGTTTGTGATCTACCAAATAAAGCTTGCCTGAAGATCAGAAAAGCAAAGCAGCCAACCACTAAAGAGTTCTTACCTCTACTGAGGCTGGGATGGTCCTGTCCTCAGCGTGACTGCAGACTGAATACCCTGTACTCATGTCTCTACCCACCTTACATTCCTCTCTAGAGCTTGAATTAAAGACATGCACCACCACCACCCAGCTTCTATAGCTAACTAGTGTGGCTGCTGGGGTTAAAGTGTATGCTACCACTGCCTGGCCTCTATGGCTAACAGGTATGATTGCTGGAATTAAAGGTGTGTGTCACCTCTGCCTGGCCTGTATGTGTCTGACTAACTTTACACTCTGATCTTCAGGAAAGTTTTATTTGTTAGATCACACACAAAATATCACCTCCTCAGGATCTGTGCTGTCAAAGATATAAAAGCCATGACATACTGGCTCTTCATGATGTGGCAACTGTGGATCTTCAAAATGCATGTGTCAGCCTTGGAAGAGATGCGACCGACTTATTGACACTATATTTCTGTCTTAAGTTTTGTGAGGCAGGTTGACAAATATTCTATCATCAACACTTTAAGTTTCTGTTTGTTTGTTCTCACTCTGTAGCCCAAGCTAGCTGGGAACTTGTAGCCATTCCTCTGCCTCAGTTATGCAAGCGCTGGGGTTATAGATGTGAGCCACCACATCTGGCTCTATCACCAACACTGGAGATGAGAGAGCAGAGTTAGAACAATCCACTTAGCTGCCTAGCGACGGACAGTTGGTCAGGGGTGGAGCTGAAGTTTTAACTTAAATTCTCAGTGTCCATGTGTCTGAATAGCAAAGCCAAATTTATGACCTGACTTGAAAAACCTAGGACGATATGCTTCCCTTTCTGGAAGACTCTAATGCAGCAGTGGTTCTCAACCCATAGGTGGACACCCCTTTGGAGTTCCATATCAGATATTTACATTGTGATCCATAGCAGTAGCAAAGTTACAGTTATGAAGTAGCAACAAAATAAGCTTTGGTTGGAGTCAGCACATGAGGAGCTGTATGAAAGGGTTGAAGCCTTAGGAAGGGTGACAGCCACTGCTCTAGAGAATCATGGGGCCACGACTCTAAGATAATTGGACAGTCAATACCTTTGAGAGTCAAACACGTGAGTCAAGTATGGTGCCCTATAATCCCCGCACTTATGAGGTAGAAGGATTAAGAGTTCAAGGCTGTCCCTGCTATACAGTGAATTCAAGACCAGCCTGGACTACATGTGACCTTGTCTCAAAACACAAAAACTGAAACAAAAGCAAGAAAAAATTCTTTTTAATTTCAAATTTGACTCTAACCTGAGAAAAAGAAAGAAGGAAAGAGGGAGGGAGGAAGGAAGGAAGGAGGAAGGAAGGAAGGAAGGAAGGAAGGAAGGAAGGAAGGACCCTTCCATGTTGGGGGAGGTATGCATGGTTTTTTTTTCTTCTCCCCATTATAACTCAAAGGGAAACTTGTACACAATCTCTGAAGCCCTTGACAACCTGACAATAAAGAGAGAGAGAGGATGTCTTTACAGTCATTGCAGCAGGAACTTACATATCTACCAAAGGCCAAGTCACAGTGGATACATTACAAACCTGAAGATGACAGCTTCGTGTCAATTTCCCATAATTCCCTCTATTTCACAGATATTGAGTTTATTGAATGACAGGGCTGGGGCTTTAATTCAGGGGCTCTAGATGCCAAGCCCACTCTATTGTGCAGTGAACCCTATGGTTTTGCTCCTCCTCAGCCTACTGAGATGGTCAGGGCAAACAGAACCGAAGTATAGAAAGTATTACACCCCCCCATCTGAGGAGGAGGAGGAGGAGGAGAAGGAGAAAGAAGAGGAGGAGAAGGAGGAGCTTGCTGAAGGTGGGGTGGGGTGCTGTAAAACTCACCTTGTCTCTTGTTTCAGTGAAGAAGGGACAATGCCCACTCTTCCCTTTCCAAATACGAATGGAGTGCCCGCCCTCCTGTAAAAATGACATGGATTGCTTGGAGAAGGAAAAGTGCTGTGAATCCAGGTGTGGCTTTGTTTGTGCCAAGGCCTGGCTAGGTAAGGACCGGTAACAGACCCCAGGGTCTACTGGGCACACGCTGTGGGTGTCGTGAATGGGTGAGGGAGGCTCCTTGGAGAGTGAACTCTGTAGGTGGTTTAGGGTGGCCTGGATCTCACTACAGAATCAAGCCAGCCTCAAACTTAACTAACTCCCTCCTGAGTACTCCACCAGCACTGGGCCAGGAAGTGGAGAAATCTCTTGACCCTCAGGTGCCTCTTGCCCTAGTCTTTGAGGTGTCTCAAGAGACATTTTTTAAAAGGCCACCGGTGCTCTCATGTTGACCTCCTGGCCTCTGGACCCATGTTCCTCAAAACCTCTCTTAACTTACTTAGTCTGCATCTTCATCCTTCAGTGACTGCAAATTGATGGTCCAGTGGTAAGTGTGAGCATGTGCTCACACGTGCACACACACACACACATACACACACACCATTAGGTATAACCTGCATCCTGCAGGAGGAGAAATACAGCAGCCCAAAAAGAACCTGCTTCTGGGTTGCTCTCAGGGCTGGGAGAAAAATCTCCACAGAGTAGCAAATTTAGGACTTTTTTATCTGAGGGGTTTCAGCAGGAAGAATGTGCCAAGCATGTGATTTTGTTGATGATAGCACTCTTTCCTCTCTCATTGTAAAATCCCCCAATTTCTGCTGTATTGAATTCTGTCCACTTTTTTTGTCATTCTGTTCATGTCTGGCAATTTCTTCTATGATGCCATTCTGCTCTTTTCTTCTAACCTGTGCCGTTCTGCTAATTTCTTCTTCCAGTTTCTCCTTCTTTCTCTTCTTTCTCCAAAGCTTATAAAGACCCACAAAATCATTCAGGCATTTGTCTGAAGGTCACATATGATTTCTTAAGCAAATGATAAGAAACCGAGCCCTCTCCACAGTTCTAAGCAGTAAATCCAGATTGTCACTCAGCAAAAAGGATCACTTTCTTTCGGTTAAACTCCCTAATTATTGGGCTGCAAACCAAGGCTTCAAAAAGAGGACTCTGTCTGCTATCTAATCTATAGAGGCATTCTCTCTTTGTTTGCTTGCTTGCTTATTTGTTTGTTTGTTTTTTGAAACAGGGCTTCCCTGTGGAACAGTCCTGGCACTCATTCTGTAGACCGGTCTGGCCTCAAACTCACTGAGATCCTCCTGCCTCTGCCTCCCAAGTGCTGGAATTAAAGGCGTGCACCACCACTGCCCAAGCTAGAGGTAGTCTTACAAAACCAAAATACTAAGAGAATAAGGAAATTGTGTGCTATGACCTATACTTCTGAGTGTATAAAACATCTTAAACATTTTGTGGTTAGTGGTTGCAAAGACTGGACTTTCTTGGATTGGAGAGACTGTTTATGAAGAGCAATCGGTGTGTGAGAGAGAGAGAGAGAGAGAGAGAGAGAGAGAGAGAGAGAGAGAGAGAGAGAGAGAGAGAGAGAGAGAGAGAGAGAGAGAGAGAGAGACAAGCTCTGAACCCAGCTGAGCCGGGCTGTGGCTGTGGCTGTGGCCGAGAAACCCCTAGCAGCACCAAGCTGCAAAACAGGGGTGGAGGCACCAGTTCGCTAGCACTCTCCAAAGCACAGTGACATTAAAAGCATTTTAAATCTTAAGATATATTTTTCTCTCCTACGTATAACCCTTGACCACTGAAAGTGAAGCTTGTAACTCTTTCTTGAGGCTATGCAGTTAGTTTATACTTTGTAGCTAGCCCTAGCCAGCCACGGAACCCTACCCCATGATGTCTGAACAAGGTCATAAAAACGGGGTTAGAAATCCATGCAAAGAATTAATTACTGTCCCCGGCACTGCAATTTGGTTGCTTCACACTTTTTACCTTGGTTCAGCAAACCACACAGCTGGCTACACGTCCTTGTAAATAAGATTGTATTGTTGGTAATAGTTTATCTTAAAATCCAATTAGCAAAGCACCTGGTTTGATCTAGAGCTACTTTAAAGTTTTCTATCAGTTGATGGTGTGCGGCTATCCTGGCAACTCGGGAAATTACAGCTGTTTTCTTAAGCTGTGCTCTAGGACAGTTCTTAGTGGAAACTCCTGACTTGGGCAGCATCTCTTTGTATTTATTTTATTCATCAACTCTGCATAGGTTAACATTACTAATATCAATTGGACAATGCAGGTAAGCAAGAGTTGTCTTCTTGGCAATCTATAGATGAAAATGCCCAGTAGATGGGAAATGTATTCATACAATACACACACAACATATACAGGTTGTGGGAAGGGATGCAAATTAGCCCATGTGTAAACTTACAGGCAGAAGCAACAGATATTCTGGAGTCTATATATCTCGAAGACTTTGCAAACCGAGTTTCTCTCCATCAGAAGTTAATTCTGGTGGATTGACACCTTGAATACCAATTGTTATGTCCTGCAATAAATGACAAAGGCTTTCAGCAGGGAAAGATTGTAAATGCTTCTGAAGCTAATGTCTGCCCCTAGCTTCTAAGCCTGGAGGTACTTTTAAGTCACAACAGAATGACAAGAGTCAAGTGGCTTTGACTGACTTCAACTGTCCCTCTGCCTTTCTGCAAGGCTTTGAGCTCCGGATAGTCTTCAGTTCCCACTGTTTATAAGATAGGGGAGTTCTGAGGGCCTTCTGAGACTTCTCCCACCTCTACGGCTCTGGGATTGTGTAACTTGAGTCAATTAATTATGCAGGGGAGGGGGAAATCCTATCTGTCTACACAATTGCACAAGACCTTTCTTGATGGTATTCAAGTTATTATTCACAGAGAGCTGACACTCTGCCTCCTCCACTCTCTTGTTAACTGTAGAAGAAATGGAAGAGATGTAGTTACAATAAAACCTTGGTTGAGAGAACCTGTACAAGCATGAGAACCTGAATGTGGAAAAGTCATGACCCCAGCACTGCCAGGTGGAGACAGGGGGATTCCAGGAGCTCAGTGACCAGTCAGAAGAACTGAAGTGGGTGTTTTGGGTTCAGTGAGAGACTTTGTCCTAAAAAAATAGAGAATCAGTTGACTGGGGAAAGACATTTTAATGTCAACCTCTGGTCTCCACCCACCTGTACAGACAAGCACACCTGTGTATGTTTGCGCGCGCACGCGCGCACACACACACACACACACACACACACACACACACACACACACACACACGCACAGAGAGAGAGAGAGAGAGAGAGAGAGAGAGAGAGAGAGAGAATTTAAAAAGTTATCTGGGTTTCCAGATTTGTGTCAGATTATTTCAAAGTCCAATTTGCTTTTTTATTTCACGAAGTCAAAACAGGTTTTTGCCCAATTAAGCCCATGATCTGTATGAAGATCGATAAGCCTAAGTGCTTGAAGGACAATGACTGTCCCCTGGATGAGAAGTGCTGCACACGCTGTGGACTGAAGTGCTTGGAACCCAGGCACTGAGCAGTAAGTGGAAAAAAGTTACCATTGTCAGAATAATGAATTTATGAGTAGCATAATATAAAGCTGTCACTTCTTCTAGTTCAACTACCTTGACAAATGACAAAACTGACAGGCTTGCTGTGGTGTATATGTGTGTGTGTATATATATACAGATATATATATATATGTTTTACTTTTATTTATGCATGGGCATATGTGGATATATAGAGGTTTGTGTGAGAGTGCAGCAGCAGAGTCGGATTCCCTGGGACTGGAGCTACAGATGGTTACGAGCTACCTGCTGTGGTCGGCGGGAACCAACCTTGCCCTGCAAGCAGTGGGATCTAAGTTTGATCCCCAGAACCTAGGTAAATTTTTGGAGTTGTAGAAGAATGTGCTTATAATCCCAGAGCTGGGGAGACAGAGAGAGAAGGATCTATGGAGATCATGGCTGGCTTAATCATTGAGCTCCAGTTCCATGAGAGACCCTGTCTAAACAACAAGGCAGATGGTACCCGAGTAACGACACCCAAACTTTACATCTGGCCTCTGCACATGTGTGCACACATATACACAAACACCAGCACACACAGATGTACCTGAAGACACATATACCTGCATATACATGTACCTGCACACATATGTGCACACAAGCTATGTACATGAAACACACAACCACTTTCCTAGTGACCAGGAAAGTATACAGGAACCTTCCAGTTGGGCTTGATGGCAAACACATCCTGACACTCAGAAGGTTGAGGCAGGAGAATAGAGATACAAGGCTGAGTCAGCCTGGTCTGCATGGCAAGTCCCAGGCCATCTAAGAAGACTGGCAGTCCAGGGAGACCTTGTTTCAAAACAAAACAAAACAGAACAGAAGCCAGGCTGAGGAAAGATGGCTCAGTAGGTAAAGGTGCCTGCTGCCAGGATGACCTGAGATTGATCCCTGAATCCCTGATATCCACATGATGGAAGGAGAGAACCAATTCCTGATAGTTGTTCTCTGACCTTCACACACACACACACACACACACACACAGAGTAAATAAATAAATGTAATTAAAATAGAAAAACAAGAGTAGGTATGTTTCAAAGTTTTTATTCAAAGTTTTCTCTTTTTTCAAAGTTCCTATGCAAAGTCTGTCTTCTATCTATATATCTATCTATCATCTCTCTATCTATCATTCATCTATCTTTTAAAAATTATTTAACTTTTATTTTATGTGAATTAGTGTGAAGGTGTCAGATCTCCTGGAACTGAAGTTACAGACAGTTGTGAACTGCCATGTGGGTGCTGAGAATTGAACCCGGGTCCTGTGGAAGAGCAGTCAATACTCTTAACCAATGAGTCATCTCTCCTATCTTTTTTTCCTTCCTTCCTTCCTATCTGTCTATCTGTCTGTCTGTCTGTCTGTCTATCTATCCATCTATCTATCTCAATACTGTATCTTAAAATCTAAGCCAAGTCCCTATATGTAAAATGAACCCAAGGAAATGAAAGACTCTGAAACCTTTCTGAGTTCTGCCAGCTTGTAGGTAACCATGTAGTATGAAGAATCTGGTGCCTAGCAGGCCCTGACTTGGTCCAAGGAAGACAGGACAAATAATTAGCATGTGAAATTTGGGTCTAAAACATTCTGCTATGGTCTTTTCTTCCCATTTCACTTTCTGGAAGTCAAACATAAAAGAAGCAGGATCCAGAGGCGAGTAAAATCTGCCATAAGCCAGCCATTCTTTGTTTCTTCCTTCACAGGTATTATAGTTTGAACTGGAAATGAACTCCTGTCTTAGCGTTTCCTTTGCCATGATAAAGCAGCATGACCAAAAACAAGCTGGGAGGAAAGGACTTTTTCTATTCACATCACACTCCGTCATCAAAGAGAAGTCAGAGCAGGAACTCAGTGAAGGAACCTGGAGCAGAAGCTGAAGCCATGGCCATGGAGGAGCACTGCTTACTGGCTTGCTTTCCACGGCTTGCTCACCCTGCTTTCTTACATACTCCAGGAAAACCTGCCCAGGGTGGCGTCACCTACAGTGGGCTGGGCCCTCCCCATCAACCACTAATTAAGAAAATGCACGACAGGCTTGTCTACAGGCCACCTTGTAAACACGTTGACATAAAACTAGCCAGTACACCCTAAAGGCTTGTGCTTTGAATAATTGTTCCTCACTTGGTGGTGCTGTTTTGGAAGACTGTGGTCCCTGGGGGAGGAGAAGAGCCCAGGGTTTCTTTCTAGCCTTGATCTCTGCTTCCTGACCTGCCCAGTGAACCATGTCTGGAACCCTCGCTTGCCACAACTGACTGACTCACTCTGCCATGCTCCGATGGAATGAAAGCCTCTAAACAGCTAGCCAGGGCAAACCTCTGCACTCAGGTGTTTTCTGTTGGGCACTCTGTCACACCACTAATGTAATTAAGACAAGAAACTCCACTTAAACAGAGTGTGAGGCTCACACCTTTAATCCCAGCACTCAAGAGGCAGAGGCAGGTGAATCTCTATGGTTTCCAGGACAGCCTGGTCTACATAGCAAGATCCAGGCCAGCTGGAGACATAGTGAGGTTTTGTCTCAAAACACAAAACAGAAGCAGAGCTGGGGAGGGAGAGAAAAAACGAGAGGGGGAGAGAGAGAACATTTACTTAAAAGACTGAATTCCTGTCCCTCTATTTTCCCCCCCAGACTTCTGCTCTCAGCCTGGACAGCAACCAAGAGGAATGATTCCTCTAATGGGCAAGAGAGACACTTTCATCTTTTGAATCACTCTTGGAACGAGGTGTGGATGATCATCCACACACTTGGTGACACAACTGTCTAGCTGTCCCTCGCCTCCATCCATGGAATCTTTGACTGTGCCACTGCCCTGCATGGTGTGCCTGTCCAAGCGGTCCTGGGACTTTACCAACTCACTGGTCGCCACGGTCTGGGCTTGAACCAGAAGTACAGGGCAGTGCCTGCTCCACAGCTGTCTTCACAGCTACAGGTTCTGTGGCAGAACGCAGGAACATGAGGCCCTGAGTCTCCTGTATGTTCTAAGTCTTCTTGCACTTCCCCGAGGAGCCCACCCCTCCTGTACCCAGAGCCCCTGCAGCTTCCTAGTGCTTCCTGCCCCCACACCATTGCCAGATGCATAGCTCTGATACGTATTGTGTCCTCAAGCCCTTGCCACTGGGTCTGGCTTCCAGCCGCTCAATTGTTCATCTTACAATCTGTCCATTTTCTCTTCCTCTGTAAATTTCAGTCTTGTATGTTTTCCTAAAATGTATCTGTTTTTCTCTATATTCCAAATGTATTGTCTTTGTGTAATATAAATTACTATATGTAATTTCACATCTTTAGCTTTGGTTAGTGTTTTGACTCATGCCATCATGCTGCCAGTCTAAACACTCAACCCTCTTACTCACTTGGCCAATCTCTCACCGTCTACCAGGTCCCCGGTCTCAGCCTTTAATCTACCTACCTGTCATTTGCCTCCTCTGTCTCTCTGTACTCTTTCATGTACCAACTTAGTTATTTGTCATTTCCCCGTCCACCCATACTCAATCCTCTTATCAACCTACAAGCCAACCTTCCAATCAAACAACCTCCATCAATAGTCCTACCCATCCCACCGCTATTATATGTAGATTCTTAAATGTCCCCCCAAAGCTAGCATGTCAAATGAAGCCTTGGTCACTTGACACTGTTGGGAAGCCTTAGGATGTGAGAATCTAGTCGCAGGAATAAGGCTACTGAAAGCATTCCCCTTAGGGACGTACTGATGCTACTGTCCCCTTCTTCCTGCTTCGCAGCCGCCATGAGAAGGAAGTGGGCAGCTTTATAGCGTCACCGCAAACTTCCTCCCATGATGCTCTGCCTCCAGACAGGCCCAAATCAACGAGTCCAACTGAAACAGTAAAAATAAATTTTCCTTTATTTAAATTGCAAATATTTTATTTAGAATGGGTGTGTGCATGCGTGCACATGTGCACATACACACACACACACACACACACACACACACACACACACACACACCACAGATACAAGTGGAGTCCAGAGCACAGCATTCAGGTGTCAGTTCTTTCTATCATGTGGGTCCTGAGGACCAATTTGAGGTCATCAGGCCTAGCAGCAGGGACTTTTATACACTGAGTCATCTCACAAACCCAAATTTCCCTTCTCTTCAGTGGAATATGTTAAATATTTTGTCACAGCAACAAAAGCCGACCACCCTTATATTTTGTTCAATCTGCTTCACATAGCTTTCCATCCATCCAACCATCCATAATCCATGCCCTCATGCATCCAGATAACCCCACATCTCCTCTTTCTGTTCCCCCAGCATCCTCCCATCTGCCATCCCACTAGACACCGCCCACCTGTGTGTCTGCTCATACCTACCCTGCCCTGCCTATCTTGCTCCAACAGAAAAATACACTGAAAGTTTATTTTGAACTTCTTCATGTTTTAAGGACCAGTTGTCAGTCACTGACCTGCTTGGGGAATCTCAGAGCCTATTTGGGAGAACAGATGCGCAAGTGAGCAATTCACTTAGATGTATTAGGAACAAGGCAGGGAGTCATCCATGCAACAGGTCCTGCTCTGATGAAGAAGCATGCGCTGTTGGATGCAGGTCTGTGTGCCTTGGTTCTCCCTGAATCACTCATTCTCAGCAGATTTGTCCTAGAACAGAGGTCTATGAAGGCCATGACCTTCAATGAGAGTAGAAGAAGGAAAGAAAGGCATGGACCCAGGTGTGTCCTGAGCAGTTTGTTCCGCCAACTAAGTTGGAGCCCAAACCCAAGCTACAACCCAGGCCCCAAAGATGCAAATTTCAAGTCGCTTGCTTGGAAAATGACATTTATATGTGTTGAAATGCAAATCAGACAGGTCAGACAGAATGTGGCAAAATAACCAGGACGTGTTTAAATTTCCCCAAGAGAGTTTAAGGAAGAAGGCAGACTTAGCTGGGGGCCTTGGGAAGCTTGTTGACTGTGGTTCTTCAGCCAGTCTCTATGGCAACGCATCACTTTGTTCCCTGTGGATTGGCATTCTAACCCTTACCTTCAAGTCTAGGAAGACTCCATGAGAAGACTCCCTAGTGGCCTCTGGTGGAGGATCCCTTCTACCTGGAATTCTGCCTCTCACACTCACTCATTGGATGACACTGGTCATGACCCTCACTTCTCCGAGTCACATAATCCCTGTCTACAAAATAAAATACCTCAGGGCTTCCTGCCCAAAACACCAGATTTTCACTTTTTCTGGCTGAGTTTGAGAGAATGCAAAGGTACAAGAAAGTCAGGTTGGCTTAAGACATCTTGGTTGTTTAGTAGAAATTCTGGTTCCCAGCTAGGGATCTAAGTCAATGGGAAAGTGTTTCTAGTCTATGCTGACTTGGGTTTGATCCCCAGCCCAAAAAATTAAATCTATTCTTTAGCATTTTTACTGGATCATCCTTGAGTGACATTGCAAAATTGATGAGATGCTATTATCATAGGCGGTCTACCTATGACCCTGAATTTTAAGGACGAGACAGTGGATTCTGTCTGTCTGCTGTTTGTCAAATGAAACAAGTTGAGAACAATGACCTACATGGTTTTTTAAGAACCCAGCCGAAGAAAGCCGAAACCCTATTGTCAGCATTGCCCTTTTTAGAGTCTGTCTCCCCTCTAGCTATGGAGTCATGCCTTAGTAGGAGCTTTGTAATCTTCTTTTTCTGGCAGTGCATTTTGAATCCAGCAGGATTGTTGACCTGGATTCTGCTTTTGTCTCTCAGATCTGTGTCTTCATTTCAGTGTCTCCTTGGGAAACAGAGTTTGTGTCACATGGTGGAGTCTCCTGCGGTCTGTAACATTCAACAACACTGTGACAAACACTATCAAAAGACTCTGATATCAGCTTGATTTCCCCTCAATCCCCTGCTCTCTGTGGCAACATCTTTACTCTTTGGCCTTAGTAAAAAAAAAAAAAAAAAAAAAAAAAAAAGAATGGCCCAAAGAGATGATAAAGGGGAAAATGGTGGGAAGAAACTGAAGAAGGGAACACAGAGATTATGGGCTTCCCACAGGAGTAAATGTTAGACACTGACACAAGGAGGCACCAAGACAATAGAGACATTGTCAGAGACAAATGAAAAAGTGTGTTCCTTAGTACGGATGTTTCAGAAAGGGGTAAATGAAAGGAAAAGAGGGCATTCCACATCAACTGAGTTATCAACATGAAGGCCTGAGAGGGTGGCATTTACTCTTAATGTAGCATGGACAATGTAGAATACACTTTGCTCACTTCTATGGTTGACCAGAAGGCTAACTCTATTCAGTCCAAGCAGCAAGGGCATAGTAAGATGTGGGTTTTCTCCATAGATGTGGGCTGTGAATGTCATCAGCTCCACTCATGATCTCAAGAACTTGGTGTTCCCAGCAAGATAGTAGGCGACTGGCTTTTCTCCAGACCTACTGCTGAGGTAGAGACTACTGAGAGAATCACTGGGTTAAGGCAGTCAGACATTTCCATGTTCTAGAACCACCCGCCAGGCCAGTTCCTCACCGGAATGAAGCTTTCTGGATTTGTGAGCTTCCTCTTGCTATTTGGCCTGTTTGTAAATGTCCAAGGACCTAGTCTGACTGATTTGCTGTTTTCCAGTAAGTACTGGTTTTCTGCTGTTGTTTGGGAGAAAAGGAGGTTTGCTGGGAGGAAGAGACAAGGAATAGGTTTAGGTTGTCTTTCTGTGTCTTCTCCCTGGATGTGGTTTGGGAGAGGAGGGAGACACTTAGAAGGTCTCTTCTGTGTGATGTCTTTTGTGTTACTACAGGGGCCAGGGTCTGGGGAAACACTCCTTGAAGTCCTTTTGAAGAGATGCCTTCCTTGGGGAGGTGGAGAAGAATCACGGATCCAGCACTTATGGGGTGACCCCTCCTCACCCCTCAAAAGAGGCAGATCCCTTTCCCGGGAGCTCTGGGGTCAGAGTTGGTGGGTTAGATACCGGTAGCCAAGCAAGCTTGAGCAAAATATTCAAATTTCACATAGCCTCTCTGAGACTTGATTTCTTCAGTTTAAAAGAATTTTGGCCCTACAGCTATGTGATGAAGAGATGAGACAGAGGGTTAAACTTCCTTCATAGTGACTGCTCTACAGTCATTAACTAACATTTGTTTGTATTTACTATCTCATTTAATCATTGTAGCAGCTCTACAAGGGTAAGTCCTATCAACTCCCCTATTTTATTTTTTTGATTAAAGTTTAAAAATTTTAAACATTAAAGTATAATGACGTCACTTCCCCTTCCTTCTCCTTCCAGTTCCTCTCATCTACTCCCCCAACCCTCTCAAAATTTCTTTTTCTTTAATCGCTGTTGTTGTTGTGTGTGTGAGAGAGAGAGTGTGTGTGTGTCCATACTTAAATAAATAAATACCACCTGCTGGGTCTATTTAGTGTCTCTTGTCTGTATATGATTTCAGGGCTGACCCCTGGGTATTGGGTAAGCAACTAAGGGGCTCTTCCCTGGGGAAGACTATTTCTTCCGCTCTCAGCACCCCTTAGTTGTATACAGCTCTTTGAACTCCCCTTTCAAAGATGAGGAAGCTAGAAGACATAGTATTTAAATAATTTGTCCAGGATTACATGGCTACCAGCATTCAGCCCACCAAAGATTTTTCTAAGACGATATCTTTATTAATCCACTGAATATTTCGTAGAATGCATTTATGATCATGTTTATCCTCTTCCACACATTCATCCCAGTTAGAATTCCAAAACCCAGCTGTGACCGGGAGAAGATTCAGTGTGCAATGTCGCCCTCTAGAGGAACTCACAAGCAGGGCTACAGCGAGACTGATTAGCTAGAGCTGCCTAAAGCGGTGCCCTAAGCTAGGGGGTTTCACTCCTAAAGAGGCCTGCCCAGTGTCTTGAGACAGTTCATGTGGTTAGGATACGGAGGAGGTGCTCAGGATGTGTAGTGCCTAGAAGCCAAGGTTGTTGCTAAAGGTTCTACAAAGCACAAGACAGTTCCTATGGTAACAGGTGATTACCCAGCCTAAATGTCACCAGTGGTTGAAAACTCCTGCTTCAGTGGCTGGGAGTAGACCAAGGACGGAGGTAAGAAGGAAGAGAGTGGGGGTGGTTGAAGAGGCTGCGGGGGAGGGGTAAGGTGGGAAACATGAGTGAGGGAAAGGACTCCTTCAGGGTGAACAAACTTGAACATACGCTTCCCTGGACTCCCCACACTGAAGTCCCCGAGACTTAAAGACTGCTTCTTCCTTAGGGAGATGCCCCCGATTCAGAGAGCACTGCGAACACAAAGAGAGGGACCTGTGTACCAGGGACAGGGATTGCCAGAAAAAAGAGAAGTGCTGTATCTTCAACTGCGGAAAGAAATGTTTAAACCCCCAACAAGGTAATACGAAGCGCTTCAGAATACCCCATACCTTCTGCCCAGGTGTCCTCTCCTGCCCACCGGGGCTGCCATTGCTCCGGCTCACTGTGGTCTGGGGTCTAGGTAAGACTGCTGAATCTGGGGCCCTGAGATTTAGATTCATTACAGCTCCTGATATGGCCTGTGGCAGTGATGTCCTTATCCTAGCAGGTAACTTATGAGCCTCAGTTTCCCCCAAATAAATGATGGGTGCATGGGTGGGATTGAGTCAGGCTGTTTCTTGACTATTTTTCACTGCCATGGTTTTCTGAGTCCCCAAGCGGCCAGTGTCATGCTAACATATACTCACATTATCGGTGACAAGCAATGTGATTTATCTTTCCTAACTTTTGACTGCTAAGCAATTGCCTCTCTGCCCATGTATCCGACTTTGTACTAGGAAACCTGCCCTGAAATTCCAGACCAGAGCTGCAATCTCAACTCTCCCCACCTCCCTGGACTCCCGAAAGGTCATCTAGGATTCTCCATTTGTTCAGAAATAGTTACTTAGTGTTTCTGATGCCATGTTTTTAGTTCATTTTGCACTAATAAAATACATGAGGCAGATTAATTATGAAGAAAAGGGGTTCATTTAGGTCAGTTTTGAGGCTGGGACCACACATCACAGGCAGGCACCAGCATGAGTCCTATAGGAGATGACGGGCAGAAGAGGTCACATGATCAACAGAAACCAAGAGGGACTTAGGGTCCTACAGTCCTTTTTGGAGGACAGTTCCAGTTGATCTAGGAGTCTCCCAATCGATCTTGCTTCTTGAAGGCACCACAACCCTGTGGACCAAGACTCCAAAACATGAGCCTTGAGGCAGGGAAACGTGACCAATACACAGACCACAGTGCCTGGAATAGCGCCTGATGTGCTCACTGTGGTCAGGGGGCACTGCTAGAAATCTCAAGGCAGTCAGGCTCAGAGCTGAGATCAGAATAATTGAGTTCCAGACACGAGGCTGGAAAGGCTCACCAGGGAATGACTTGTAAAGACCTCACTGGGGGAATCCCAGGGAGGCAGAGAGTGAGCATGATGCTAGTTATCAGGAAAGGCCCTTTGTGTGTTTGAATCATCCGGTCCCAGTCTGATGGACTCGAAGAAACACTCTCATCTTGAACCATGGCCTCAAAGATCATCTTAAACCTGAGAACCATGGGCTGGAAGACAAAGCAAAAGCAATGACATGACCAACATGTATGACCCTTAGAGCAGGAGGGGTGACTGGAGGGACTGGGGACTTCCAAACTAGAGACACAGCTCAGCGAAGCAAGCGAGGATGACATCTGAAAAGTACTGAGGAACGTGAGATGCGACGGTATAACAGCAGGCAGGCCAGGTGACATGTCAGGGTCTCAGCCCCAGCTTTTAGCGTCTTTTTAAAACTCTTGAAAATTAATATTTTTCTCTGTGCTTCTATTTCATCACATGATGGAAGGCATAGTGCTAACAGCTCTTTTAGATCCATTGGAATACTCAGAGGGCCGCCTGAAGTACATTAGTTTAAATGATTCATCTTTCTTGCTTGAGAACTAAACAGCAGTGACACATGTCTTCTTTGTCTCTGAAAGCATTCAGCTAATGGTAGGTACTCGGGAATGATATACTCAGCTAGGACGGGGTCCTTCTTACTTCCCCCCTTTAGCTCTCCATCGAGCGCTGTTCCAGGCCAGGCTGCCCTTCTGCTAGGTATCAGGACCCCAAAATGAAGTCAGACACAATCCCTGCACACTGGAGATTCATGATCCTAGGAACAAGACTTGGGGCATTTTTTTTTTTGTTTTATGAGACAGGGTTTCTCTGTATTGTTTTGGAGGCTGTCGGTCTAGCCTGGCCTCAAACTCACAGAGATCTGCCTGCCTCTGCCTCCAGAGTGCTGGGATTAAAGGCGTGCGCCACCACCGCTCGGCGACTTGGGGCATTTTTAAAGGAATGATAAATGAACACGCAAGCCTCAGAAACAAGCTAGGGAAATGCAGGCTTGATTCAGGCAGCTGCCATGGCGTGGGATATGGAGTGGAGTTAAGAGAGACATCGCAGAGGAGCTGGCTTTTGAGAAAGGTTTTGAAGGAAGAATAAGCATTCCCCCTAGCAAGCAACCAGATGTGTGTCTGCGCGACGGTGTGGTGGTGCAGTGTAGCATGGTGTGCTGAACTGAAAACAGCCATAGCATGGGTCTTAAAGGAATTCCACAGCAGAAGAGGCAGAGCCAGGCATAGGAGCCAAAGATGAAGGTCCTCGTGAGTCCCAGAAGGACCTTGTAATGAAGCTGGAGACTCATGCATGGCGTGACATGATCAGGTTGTTTTCAAACCCATCAGCTCCTTCTCCCTGGTGATCTTCATGGCAGACTAATGGGGGAGCCGGGAATGAAGGCAGGAGGGTGAATCATCGGAGGCCGCCTCAATAGACTATGTGGGTTGAGGAGCCTGGCAGAGAGGTGGCTGTGAGGAGGTACAAGCCACTGCTGTGGAGTCCTGTGGCCAAGGCACTTGTGGGTCAGCTGGAGCCTGTGTTATCCGGCTAATGCCACTGGAGTAAAGCGCCACATCCCAGTGGCTTCAGCCATGGTAATGTGCCCTCTAGGAGTTCTGCAGGCTCAGAGGAAGAGGTTAGGTGACAGTGAAAATTTCATAAAGTCTCTTCTCATGGGTCCTGGGATTGAACTCAGGTCCTCGGGCTTACATAGTAAGTGCCTTTGTGTGTAGAGCCATCTCCCTGGCTCATGAGTGAGAACTTTATCACACATCTATTAGTAACTGGTGGCTTGCTGGCAATCCTTGGCATCCCTGATCTCCACCTTCAAGTCCACACAGCACCCTCCCCGTGTGTGCATCTCTGCCCAAGCTTACTCTGTTTTCAAAGGGGCCCAGTCATATTGGATTAGAAGCCCTGGAAGTTCAAATATGCAACCGCCTCGATTGATTGTAACCACAGGCTGGAGATACAGTTCAATAACAGAGTGCCTCCCTAGTGTGCATGAGGTCCCCAGTCCATTCTTAGGACCCCAAAAAACGAGGGCAGGGGAGGATGTCACCTGTGTGGCAATTCTTTTGCCTTGCTGTGACAAAATACCCAACAGAAACAACCAGTGTACAGAAGGTTTCTTTTGGCTTGTGGTTTTAAAAGGGCCTCTGCATATCACTATGGAAACAGCACGCCCAAGTCCATGGTGTCTGAAGCACAAGATGGAGACTCCTCAAACGGCTTCAGACCATGGTGTCTGAAGCACATGGTGGAGACTCCTCAAACGGCTTCAGACCAGGAAGCAGACAGCTTCAGGAACCAGGGCTACGCTACCGCCTTAAAATCCCTCCCCTGGTGACATACTTCCTTTAGCCAGGCCCCATCTCCTAACAGGTCCCACAGCCTCCCAAAATATCATCCCCAGCTGCGTTAAAGTGTTCAAGACGTAAGCCTGTGGGGGGGGCATTTCATGTTCCAACCATCACCACCCACAAGGATCCTACCACCGAGGCTGCAGATACTCACCACACCATCTCCCGACAAGGACTTGTGATATGGTTGTGGTGTTGAGCCCCTAGAGTGTGAGGAGGAGAGGATTATGTTCCAGATTCATTCGTGGTGACTTTACAGTGGCTCTCGGAGAAAGGAGTGACATCGCTCTGTTTGCGGTTGCACACCCTGAGTTCTCATCCCTGGGCTCTCCCTGCAGACATATGCAGCCTACCGAAAGACTCTGGCTACTGCTTGGCGTATTTCCCTCGCTGGTGGTATAATAAGGAAAACAGCACGTGCGAACTCTTCATCTATGGAGGCTGCCAGGGAAACAATAACAACTTCCAAACCCAAGGCACATGCCAGAACATCTGCAAAAAAAAAAGTGAGTCTTGGAGGCCCACCTAAAATCCTCGCCCGAGCTGTCCTGGGAGGTGTGGGCGTGGGTCGGTCTGTGCCTAGGCAGCTGTGTCCTTCTCATACTTGACAGAATTGGAACCGGTCAGGAATGGTTGGGGGAGGGGGGCACTGTGGCCCTCTGGAAACTGAAGACAGGAAGCTGTGGGGGAGTTAGCAAACAAGAAGGGATTCAGGAGGGGTGGCGGGGGATGTAGAAGGGTCCCGAAGAGACCAACTGCAAAATGATCGGTGTCCAGCCCCACCTGGGCCCAACGACCAGGTCATCAGCTCCTTCACCTCCTTTTGCCAGCAATCCAGTTCTGCCCAGTTCTCCTTGGGAGAGCAAGATGGCTTCAGTTCTAACAGTCTGCTGAGTGGGCCCACAAAATGCCATGTTTCACGATACTCTCATCCCTGGATGTTTGCTGTTTGCTCACATTCAACTCCCATTGACAAACCTTGCTCCCATTGACAAACCTTGCTCCCAAACCACATCCCACGAAAAGATGTGGAAACACAGCTCAGGCTCCAGAGGTAAACCGAGTCTAAGTTTCTCAACTGTACCTTGCGTCTGTGTTCTCAACAGCCTCTTCGACCTGAACAGAGGACATGCTGGGAAAACTACCAGGACTTTGCTTCTGCTCCAAGCTATGTATACCCACTGGATTCTCCAGAATAGCTTCTGGTGACGGCTCTCAATACTCCAAGGCCTTAGGTCTTCCCAACACTGAATCCCGGAATGCCGTCCCTCCCTCCCATCCGTATCTCCAGTTCCTAGTCATACTACCTCCTCTTTGGAACCCATCACTAACGATGCCTCCCCTGCTCGGCTCCACTGTCAGGAGCTCCCTTTATTTCCATGTAGCTCTCAGCTCTATTCATTAAAGTATTTGGCTTCACCCTGTGCCTCTGAGACTGGGTGATTCACAAGGTAGAGGAGGAAATTCCACATCAGAGATTGTCCTTTGACCACCACGCATAGGCCATAGAAACCTCAACACACACACACACACATACACACACACACACACACACACACACACACACACACACACTGAATTGTATAATTCATTTACATGAAATATCTAGAACAGGAGTTGAGCATGGTGGTTCAAGCCTGTATTCACAGGTACTCAAGCAGAGTCAGGAGGATTGCAGTTTCAAGGACTGTCTGGGCATGTTAGTAAAACCCTGTGTCAGTTCTCAAAAAAAAAGAAGGGAGGAAGGAAGGAAGGAAGGAAGGGTTAGGGATGTAGCTCAGAGGTAGAGCATTTGTTAGTGTGAGGCCCTGAACTGAAAACACACCACGGGCAAAGAAAAAGAAAATCTATAAGATGGGAAGCAGTCTCAGGGGCTGGAGTGGGCTGGAGGCTAGAGAGTGATTGCTCACAAACCAGGGTTTACAGCTAGAGTGAAAAAAACATTTTAGAACCAGTAGTTATGACCCACAGTCACATGAATGTACTAAGAAAGGAAGAAGACAGGTTCCATATCGTTGACCTGAAAATGGTGGATTTTATCTGGAGGAATTCTACACGGTTTTCAAAGTGGATGCCATGGAAATGTCTCGCAGCTTCAGGTGAAGTCCTGGGTGAGCCGAGTGCATCCGGCTGCAGCCTGCAGTCCCTGCCTCAGTCTCCCCTGCATTGCTCACATGGGTCCACACTGCATCCACTCCCTCACTAATGCGCCAAGGTTTGAGATGAGGGAATATTCCAGAAATATCAGAGTCACTTGGTCCCTCCTGCAGCTGACTCTGAGCCATTGCATCCTGTGGCCTCTTGTGACAGAGGCCCCGAGAGCCACTACTTCCCTGTCCCTGAGACAGCATCATCTGCCCACATGCTCACCAGGAACCCTAGGTTTGTGCTCACCTGACGGTCTTGACCCTTGGATGGTGACAAAAGAAGACAAGTGAGCCAAAGACGAGAGAGGAAAACCAAAGGGACCTGGAGGGTAAGGAGACAGAGGCTCAGGCTTTGAAAAGGAGAGGAAGGAGGCACTGGGTAAGAAACACAGATAATTAGGCCAGAGATGAGGACAAGAAGCAGCCAAGGCAGGACCAAACTTGATTGGTCTAGTGCTTGCCTAGCATGCATGCAGCCCCCAGCCCCACCCCTAGCCCCAGGTAAACCAGGGCAGGTCTGTAATCCCAGCACTGGGGTGGATGCAGAGGAAGCAGTCTTCCACTACATAGCAAGTTTGAGACCAGCCTGGGGTAGATGGGACCTGTCTCAAGAAATAGAGAGGGATGGGGAGAAGGGAGGAAGAGGGAAGGAGGAAAGAGGAAACAAAGGGAGGGGCAGTTGAAGAAAACCAGAAAAATGAGGACTTGGCATGAAGGAGAAAAGAGAAACCCCAAAGACAAGGGACGAGGGTACTGTCTGTGGTGGTGATCTTAGCTGTCAAGTAGATACAGCTGGGAAGGGGTAGCCTCAGTTGAAGGAATGTCTCCATCAGATGGACTTGTGGTCATGACTACGGGGAATTTTCTGGATTCTAGCTGATGGTGGAGAGCCTGGCCACTGTGAGGAACGCCATTACTGGACAGCTGATGGGTTGTGGTAGAAAAGTAAGTGAGCAAGTAAGAGCAAGCAAACCAGTAAGCAGTGCTCCCCCAAGGTCCCGAGATCAATTCCCACCTCTAGCTTCCTATAATGACTGTAACCTGTGAGTGGAAATAAACACTCTCCTCCTTCATTGCTTTTAGTCAGGGTTAATATTGGCAACAAAAAGCAACCTAGAAAAACTCCCAGTCTCCATTTTGCCCCCAGGAAAAAAACAGTTCTAGAATTCACATAACTTTGCTAAGAGATTCTAGAAGACCCCAAGCAAGTGCACCCCTCTCCCTAGTAGGCCAGAGAGCCAGAGAACCTCAGATTGCAGAGGCCCAGACCACAGGTCAGAGACCTTTCCTCCAGTGTGCACTGTGGGTAGTTAGGCCACTGATGGCCTCCGGGAGGGAACATGACTGGCTCCTGTCCAGATTCGCTTTCCTGGGAGGTTGGGGCACAGAGCCACGGAGCAGAGGCCGGAGCCACTGACCTGCTCCTCCCAGCGTACGGCCTCCAACCAGGATACTGCTTCCTAAAATGAGGCTCTGGGGACTTCTGCCATTCCTGGGCCCCTTCATCTTCCTGTGGGGCATCTGGGAACCTGAGCTGGCAGAGGGGTTCTTTGTCAGTAAGTACTGGGGTACAGTTCTTATCACGGAGAGAAGAAACTTCCTGGGGCCGAAGAACAAAACCCGCTGCACACGGGAGTGTTTTCCCACTGCAGCCTCGGGCCCCGCGTGGGAGTGAGATGTTTGGGATCATTGTTTTCCCACCGTCCTGGAGAGACGTCCTGGGTGAACACAGAGTCCTCGGTCTGTGGCAGTCGACTCTCCACCATTTTAAGGAATGCTTCATGGAGGTGCCAGACTAGTGTGCATTAAATGGACACTGGGGATTAAATAGCCAACGGGGTTTTCATTTAAGGGTGAGCCTCTCCCTTCACGACCACTGAGCTCCCAAAGCTGCCCTGCATCCACACAGGACCTTACCTGTGCGCTAAGCAACAGCCCCCAGGGTCCCTTCAATGGTGAAGCCTGGAGACTTCATCCTTATCCGCTAAAACACACTGAGCACTTGACGGTAGAGGGCAAAGTGAAGGCTTCGAAGGCCACGTGACAGGTGGGAATTCCGGGTCCACTCCTTGGTAGTTGCGTGGCCCTGCGCATGCCCACAGGCATCCCTTGCTGTGGATGCCTCTGTTCACTGTGGAACACTGAGAGGGATCACTCGGAATTGTGTAGGAAGGAGACAGGCCACGTGCTTAGTAAGTGCTTCGTCAGTATCAACCTCCGTGCTTTTAGCCCAGGCATCTTGACCAAGGCTTTTCAAACTTTGCTCCATTAGCCTTCAGGACCACATTCAGGACGGCAATCTAGGCAAACAGTGAGAGCCACGGGGTCAGCCAAGGCAAAGGCAAATGATCGGAGCAGTCGCAAAGCAGCGGTCCCTCTTGCGGGGGGATCTTGTAGGTGGTGGAGAGAGGGCGAGGGAAGTCCTGGGGGTTAGGTGCTCAGGCAACATAGTGGAGCTGTGGCCAGTGCTGTGAAACCCTGAGGGTTTCAGCTCTGCAGTGGTGCCCCGGGACCGGGAAGGGACAACAGTATCTCCTTCAACACCTCAAGGAACCACACCTTCTCCTGCTGTAGGATCGTGCCCAAGAGTAAGAGTAAAATGTGAAGTCGAAGAAAGAAACGAATGCACAAGGCACAGACACTGTCCAGACAACAAGAGGTGCTGCATGTTCAGCTGTGGGAAGAAATGCTTAGACCTCAGACAAGGTACTTCTCTGACCCCCTGACTGCCATCAGTAGCCCCGCCCCCCGTGGGGGCTAGTGTTCACCTTCTATACTGTTTTATCTGTCATATCCTTGAGCTCTACAAAAGACTGTCAAAACTATTCACTCATTTTATCAATCAACAAGTATTTGCGGGCCGGGCGGTGGTGGTGCACGCCTTTAATCCCAGGATTCGGGAGGCAGAGGCAGGCGCATCGCTGTGAGTTCGAGGCTGGGCTGGACCCACAGCCTCCAAAACAATACAGAGAAACCCTGTCTCGTAAAACCAAAAAAAAAAAAAATCTCTTAGATCCCACAAGGTTTCCAGTTTATATATCCACAGACACTATTGGCAATTCTTTGACAATAGGGCATGCATATCTCTCAGAGCCAGGAAAGCAGATAAGGAGATAAGGTCTTGGCAAAAGCAGTATGTCTCGTGTCCCAGAGGAGACGTGACTTGTAGCACATGATGTTAACTGATTAAAAGGGACTTCTCAGTGCTATATCAAAGGGAAAAACTGAGGCTATGTAGTGTGAAATCCAGAGGCTGCAGCTCTTACTGCTGATGCCCCAATAAGAAGGGATTACCTTTTCTGGGGCCTTTTTGAGAATATAAAGCATCCAGTATATTTTCCATATATCAAGATTATACAGTCAAATTCATTGTAACAGATATTCTGAAGTCTATATTTCTTGCAAGTTTTTCCATCTGAAGTTAATTCTGGTGGATTGATACTTATAATATTAATTGCTACTTCTGTAATAAATGATAAAGGCTCTCAGCAGATGGTCCTGTCCCTACAAGAAAAGTGGTACTTTATGTTATCATCCTACAGATGAAGAAACCAATACCAAAAAGGCTGCAGTGACTGGTCAGAGTTCCCATTGAACTGGAAGCACAGCTCTGAGATACAGAACGAGAGCAGTGGACAGAGGAAGGGATGGGGTTGTCCCCTAGGAGACAGGAATCCAGATATCTGTCTCCATGATTTCCCCACAGACGTATGCAATCTGCCACAGGATTCTGGCCCCTGCTTGGCTTACCTTCCACGCTGGTGGTATAATAAAGAAACTGAGACCTGTACTGAATTCATCTATGGTGGTTGCCAAGGGAACCCTAACAACTTCCAAACTGAAGGTATCTGCACAGTTGTCTGCAAAAAGAAACGTAAGTGCTAAAGGTCCCCAACCTCCAGCTATACGAGCATCAGTGCTTTCCAAGACCTGAGCAGTCCTGGAGGTGCACATGGAAGGAGATGGGAAAGAGAGGATAGGAGGGAGGCAGTTGGCAAAGGGATGCCTGCAAGTCTGAGGTGAGTAGTGGGAACACACACAGGAGCGGGGAGTGCCCAGGCCAGCTCAGAGAAGGAGCATGCGAGCTGCCAGGGTCACCACCCTGAAACAACAGGAATAAAGCACTATCACTCAGAAGGCATAGTTACTCTGAGCCCAGCACTCACATCCCTTCGGTTGGCCTGCATGCTTGAGGATGTGAAAATGACCTCATCCCCTTCATTAGATGAAAGATCTGGTTGCTATGGTGACTGAAGCCAAGCATCTCCATCCTTACCCTTGTGTCTTGCAGGCACGTCTTCCTGGATGAGATAAGACCGAGCTGGAAGAGAGGCTCCAGGTCTTGGCTCCTAAACTGAGGCTTCCTTCCATGAGCCCAACAGATGCTCTGGATTGGCTGACACCAGCCATTTCGTAGCCACTAGGACTTTGGCTGTTCTCACAACAGAACCCTAGAATTTGCTTATTCCTTTTCCATCACCCCAGCTTCACTTTAGACGTAATTCCCTTCAACTTTGACCCCTTCTCAGTGTAAGACCCCATCACCTCAACTTACAGGGCTCTTTTATTCCTGTGAAGACTCTAGTTCTTCCTAATAAAGGATCCTGTGAGTTCTGATGTCTCTGAGTCTGAATAACTCATCTGTTGTCTGCAGGGGTTCACATCTGTTCACAGCCCTTTGTATACAGATGTTCACATCTGTTCACATTCCTGTGTGTGCACATCACATCTGTTCACAGCCTTTTGTATGCAGATGTTCACAGTCCTCTGGAGGCAGATGTTCACAACCTTCTCTGTGCAGATGTGCATGTCTGTTTACCATCATAGAGACAAAACTCCAAAGGTTACACACACACACACATGCACGCACACATGCGCACGCGCATGTACACACAAACACTGTTACATAAATTCATTGAAGGTTTGGAGTAAAAAACTTGAAAATGCAAATATCTGTGGTGATTTTATAGATCAATAAGGTTACACAAGAGGGAAATTTAGAAAACAATCATATTTGCATCAGTAACAGCAAAAAACTCCGAAGTTCTTCAAATCATCCAAAGGGCAAAAGATGTGTGCATCAAAAGTCATGAAGAATTGATGAATAAAATTAAAAAACAAAACACAGATTTATTAAAATTATCTTAGACCCATAACTGAAAAGAATTCATATTGCCAAACTATCCAGAATACTTTCAACCTGTTCCGGTACATTCCTTTACATCATGTGAAGATGTGTAATTGTGACTGATGTAATAAAAAGCTAACCAGTCAATACCTAGGCAGGAGATATAGTTGGGGCTTCTGGGTGGAAAGACCTCTGGGAAGAAAAAGGCAGATTTGCCGGCCAGACATGGAATAACCAGGATGGGCATAATGGAGAGGAGATAATGATAGTGTAAGAGAATGTAGATTTTAAAATATGGGTTAATTTAACTTATAAAAGCTAGTTAGAAACAAGCCTAAGCTAAGGCCGAGCTTTTATAAGTAATAATGCCTCTGTGTCATTTTTTGTAAGCTATCAGCCCCCAAAAAAAGTCCATTTACACCAACCATCTATATACATTGCACACAGCAAAGCACCTTAACAGAAGAAAGAATAAGAAGGCCCAAATTTAAATCTCATTGTTGCCTTTAGCAACACCCTAGTGCATCCTAGTATATACACCTACCGGGACAGAGTAGGGTGGAGGGAGCCCCTTCTCAGGGTCTATTTCCCATCTACAACAGGAAGGTCAGTAATTGATTTGTCAAACAGTTCTTTCCACTTCTGGGAAAGCCAGCATTGAAGGAACCCTGCCAGATTCGATAAGCACCTGCAGCTCCGTCATGCTCCCCACACCATTAAGTGTGCTTGGGTTTGCATACATGGGTGACTAGAACAAATTGCTCCTGCACCAATGAGACCCTTAGAAATGGCTAGTGTGTGCCCTGTGGTGATAACATCTGCTCCCAGGTCTGCTCAGGAATGTGCATGAAGCTCTCGGGGCTGTGCAGAGACCTGCACTGAAGGACCTCAGTGGAACTGAACAGCCCTACGTCTCTTTGTTACTTCCTAATTACAGTTGATACCCTCAGGAAGATCATCTTTGGTTGTTTCCAGGGTGCAAGACCCCTCATCTTCCTCTCCTGATGCTACCTCCAGATCTGGAAATGCATAGGGGAGCTTGGGTAATTTGGAAACAGGGGATAGACTAACAGAACTACACTCTTCTTTTGTCTCTACGTGTGTACAAAAAAGTTCTAATAAAGAATGAATTTGTCCAGGACTACAGAGTAGTATGTCATAACAAAATGAGCTAAACTTAGACCTAAAGAGTGGCTGGGGCTGGGTGTGATGGCGACAGAGCTGTTACACAGAGAAACCCTATCTTGAAAAGCAAAACACAACAAGAAACACAGGTGACTTTGCTTTTAATATTCAGCATCTAACTCTGACTGATCACCCACATTGTGTACTTATTTCCATCTTAGACACTGCTATAGTGAGTCTCACTATGTAGCTAACCTGTCTTCTAATTCTCTGTGTAGCTCAGACTCGGCCTAGAACTCTGATCCTCTTGCCTCCACCCACTGGGTGCTGTGATAATTGGTACATCCTAGCACACCCTACTCCAATATCATGCTCTTGTAAGTTTTATCAAATGCAGAGCACATCACTTTTAATCACTGTACTTTAGCTCATTCCTGACTCTTCCTATTAAATTTTCTCTGAAGACACACCCTTCATATCTGCCTTTCCTGTTGAATGCTGTCTAGCAATTTGCTGTGTTTACAATACGCACAATTGTTCTTCCTTTTACCACTGGTCCCTTCCTTATTACCGATGTCAGTGTGTTGCCTTATTAGGTAAAATGAACACATAATCAGTGTTATTTCTAATTCAATGATAAAAGGACATGGAGATGTCAGAAGTATGACCGCCTTGTATCTACTTGATTCAAGTCTAGGGAGAACTGACTTTTTCTCTCAACCTTCTTCTCAAAATAAATGCATTCTTGAATCTAGGCTGGGTGTGGTGGTGCACATCTTTAATCCCAGCACTCAGAGAGATGAATGGATCTCTGTGAGTTTGAGGCCAGCCTGGTCTACAGAATGAGTTAACCGGACCTTCTCAAGATACACTGTTGCAACTAATTAACCAGTTGAAAGATGAAGTAATATACGGGTAAAAATGTATAAATGGGAGAATAATCAAGTAATTTTGATGATAAACTCATTGGGTGATCTATGAAACTTCATGAACCACTATCATACTTAGATCCATTGTCATGATAAAGAAATACTTGAGAAGAAATAATGGCTCAGTTTTCATCATAAACAGAAGGATATCAAAAAGTATTAGGCTATATAGTCAAAGTGATTAAAGAGAAAAAGGCTACTAAATAATAATACTGGAATCAGAGTAACTACCCTCCAAAAATAAAGACAAGGGCTGGAAAGATGACTCAGTGGTTAAGAACATTGGCTATTCTTGCAGATGCCCTGGGTTCAATTGCCAGCACACATATTGGCAGCTCTCAACTGTCTGTAACTCCAGTTCCAGAGCATCCAATGGCCTCTTCTGGCCTCTTCAGGTACCAGGTATGAATGTGTTGCACAGACGTTTGGGCAGGTGAGAGACCTATACACATAAAATAAATATTTTCATTAAAAATTAATCCTCATGGGCTTAAAAAGTGTTAAAGGTAAGTAAATAAAATAATCAGGTATGGCAGCACAGACTTTCAGTCTCAGAATTAGGGAGGCAGAGGCAAATGGATCTCTGTGAATTTGAGGCTTACCTGGTCTACACAGCAAGTTCCAGGCCAGCCAAGACCACAAAAATAAGTAATTTTTTTACTTCAAAATAAGTAAATAAATAAAAATAAATAATAAAGCCAAAGCCAGACACAGTGGCACAGACTTTTGATCAAAGCACTCAGTAGGCAGAGGCAAGCAGAGCTCTGATTCTGGGCTAGCCTAGTTTGCATAGTGAGATCCTACCCCCCAAAATAAATAAAGACAATAACGCATGTCAGCAATAACTATTATTATTATATGTTAAGAACTCCTAGAAGTCAATAACATACAAATAATACAGTAAGGAGATTGGCAAAAGATGGAGCTGAGAAAATAACTCAGGTGGTAGAGTTCGTGAGCCCCTGAAATGAGAGGAACAAGGAACAGAAAAATAAAGAGGGAAAGGAAAGGAAAAATGAGCAAAGACCCTAAAAGGCATTTTTCCTGAAAAGGAGCTGGAGAAGGGTGTTATGGAGAAACTCCAGATGGAAGGTTCTACGCCCCGATAAGCCTGTCTGCCAATGCAGCAATCCAAATCAGACCAAATCAAACCAAATTAGAAAAGCCCATGTTTAATGGATACAACCTCCCAGATGGCCTTCCAATTCCCTAGAGAGGAGACAGGAAAGGGAGACTGGAAAAAATACGAATCCATTTTCTGGGAGGCAGTTTAATTACCCTATGGGAGTGGTCTTGAGCATCTCTGGGGGAGGATCATCATATGATGGGCTTTGTGAGATGCTACAGGGTTTTGGAGGGATATGGGGAAGGGGGCTTGGTTGGAATCTCCACCAAAACATCCCAGGCTCTTTGGGTGTATGGATGCCAGGGGCTGGTGAAGCTTCCATCATAACATCGGGCTCAGCAGTTAAGAGCCTACCCAGGACAGGATTCCCAGCTCCCGTGTTGGAGACTGACAACCACCTGTAACTCCAGCTCAGGGGGAACCAATGCTTCTATCCTCCACAGGCATCCATACTCACAAGAATGTACCCTCCTAACATATGCATATACACATAATTAAAAATAGACCAGGTGGTGGTGATGCACACCTTTAATCCCAGCACTTGGGAGGCAGAAGCAGGTGGATCTTTGAGTTTGAGGCCAGCCTGGTCTACAGAGCATGTTCCAGGAAAGCCAGGGCTACACAGAGAAACCCTGTCAGAAAAACAAAATGAAACACAAAGCAAGAAGACAAAAATGAATTTTTTTTAAATCCCTTTTTAAAAAACAAAATGAGCCGGGCGGTGGTGGAGCATGCCTTTAATCCCAGCACTCGGGAGGCAGAGGCAGGCGGATCTCTGTGAGTTTGAGGCTGGGCTGGACCGACAGCCTCCAAAACAATACAGAGAAACCCTGTCTCGTAAAAACCAAAAAAAAAAACCCGATATATTGATTTTAAAAAGTAAACAAGGGAATTTCTGTCTCTCTCTGTCTCTGTCTCTCTGTCTCTGTCTCTCTGTCTCTCTGTCTCTGTCTCTGTGTGTGTGTCTATCTCTGTCTCTGTCTGTCTCTCTCTCTGTCTCTGTCTCTGTCTCTGTCTCTCTCTCTCTCTCTCTCAACAGGGTTTCATATGACCCAGGCTGGCCTTGAGCTCACTATTTAGTCAAGGGTGACCTTGAACTTGTGATCTTCCTGACCCAACTTCAAGTACTGGAATTGCAAACATAAACCACATCTTGTTTTTAACACTGAACTGTTGTTATTCTGCTTAAATACACTAAATCTGCTCCTTCTCCAACAGGTGGCAGTTTCCGACTTCTAGACTGAGTGTGTGCTGTTCCCATAATTCCCTGGGGGTGCCCTGATGGTGGCATTATGGGAGGGGTACATTTGAAAACAAGAGAACATATCGTTAGGATGTCAGAAAACTCAGGCTTGCTCTTTTCAAGGGTTTATTTTATTTTTAATGATGTATATGTATGTGAAGGGGGTTGTTCACCTGTGTACAGGTGTCCACCAAGGCCAGACGTACAGGAGGATTCTCTAGGAGCTGGAGTTACAGGAAATGCCCGATGTCCAACTTGGATGTTATGAACCCAAGTCAGGGCCTGCGTAAACTTCAGGGACAGAGTGTGAAGTGTGTTTTGTGTGGCGCCTGAAAAGGCAAAGGCACCCGGCTGGTATAACTGCTGCTCCACTCTTGTTGAAGGGGCTTCTGTACTGAAATGACACATTGGCTTTGGAGGCCAGATCAGATATGTCCAGGAGAGAGAGACTCTCTGTTCCAGCAGCAGCCTGCCACGTGCCAGCAGCAGCAGTTAGGGGCTAGCGAGTAGGAGAGTCAGCCCCTCCTCCTAGTCTCTTCCCTCCCTAAATAAGAGGGCTCCAGGCTAGGCCACTGCCGGCAGACGCCATGCAGCTCCGGGCTTCCTTATCATTTTTCCTGATCCTCACCTTCTGCCAACAGCTTTACTCAGAACCAAAACAAGGTTGGTATGAAATGGGGCTCTCAACGTAAACCAGGAACGGAGCAGGGGCCCTGCAGGGCAGAGTCTTTTCTTCTCATCCAGTAGAACAGGGAACCAGCTCAAGTCACTGACAGACAATGTCAGGTATCTGCTATGTGCCGGGCACCATCTCAGGACCTGGAGTTACAACCACCAGCCAAAGACACCGCCTTAAAATTCCAGCGGGGACAAAAAGCACACAGCATACATCATCACATAATAGACAGAGAAGGAGCCATAGGAAGAGGGAAGGGCTTTAGAGTTTGGACTTGTGATGGCCAAAGTGAGACCAAGGAGGACAGGTGCAAACTTAACTTTGACATGACTTCCTTACAGGGGCCAGGTTCCTTCCTGGGCCACTGTCTCTGCTGCAGCTTAAAATCTGCACACCATGATGAAGACAAAGACAGTGAAGACGACAGTGAATGTGGTATATCCAGACCTTTTTTGTGAACAGTAGGATTCCCTTTACAAATGTTCAGAGCTGGAATGTATTTCAGTGGGGGAACATTTATTAGCATGCACAAACCCTGGGCTCCCCCAAGTCAGCAGCATCAGGGGTCAGGTGCTGGTGCTGCTACTTACAAAAATCTATGCCTCAGGGGTGTTGCTTGGTCTCTCGGGATATGTCAGTTTTTTCTTCTAGAAGATAAGAGCAACAGTTGTGTTTGCTTTATTGACAAAATCTGATGTGTATATATTTGTTAGTGTAACAGCTCTCAAAGGCTTCACATGAAATACTTTGGTTGCATTCAGAACACACACACACACACACACAGGGAAGGGAGGTCATCTCTATTACATATAAAAATAAATAAAGTGATTTCCTCTTGATTTTAATAGAATCAACGAAGGGGGTAAGCAAAAATGATAACATTTAAGAGCATGTAGGACTCCACCTCCTACTGAGTCACCTGGGATCAAGGAGGATGCTACTGTGACCAGGATGTCACATGCCATATGAACATGCCAGCCTGTCCCTCCTCCATCCATTTCCATCTTGACTGGATAAGCTATTTGTTCTTGTGCCTAGCACCAGTCTTCAGGGCACAGACACGAGAGAACCTTAACCTCTCCCCTGCCTAGGCTGCTGCCAAATTCCACCCAAAGTGTGTTCATCTGCCTATTCATTCTACAATGAAGGAGACAGGTGAGAACCTGCAGACCCCTGCCACTGGATTGGGCTGGCTTTGTGTCTTGGTTCCCCCACTTCCTGGCATGAGGGTAGGTGCTTTATCTCTCTGCAGCTTCTTCATGTAGCATGATAAGTCATGATAGCTGGACTGAAGAGACCCAGAGATAGAGTTTGGCGGCGGAGCACTGGCCTGGTGCACACAAGGTCCTTGGCATCTTCCACTCACCCCAGGGTTACTGTCAAGAGTAATTACAGGGACCGAGGAGACAGACTGTTCTGTGATGTGCTTTCCTTGAAAACATACAGACCTGTGTTTGATCTCCATCACCTGCATCAAAAGGGAAGCGCCAGGCATGGTGGCATGCTTGTAATCCCAGAACTGGGAGGCAAAGACTGGCTCACTGTCCAGCCAGGCTCACCTATTTGGGGAGCACTAGCCTAGTGAGGGACTAGGACTCAAAAAACGAAACAAACAAAATGAAACGGCCCCCAAAAATTATGCCTAAATTGTCCTTTGACCTCCACAACACATGCACTCACACACACACACACACAAAACAGTAATTACAAAGATAAAAACACTTATATCTCACATAGTAACAAACACAAAGAAACTTCTAGCACTCCTTAGAGGAGCTCATGGCTACTACTGCTTGGCTGGGTGTTTGCTGAGAACTCGGAGGCAGGAGGCCTGCATTGGGTACTAGGGCTGCAGAGTTGGCATGTGAGGTTTGTGATGCTGGGTCCCGTTGCTTAGGAAGGAGAGGGTGCTTAGGGGCCAGTTCACCATTATCCACTGCGTTTTTACCTGTTAGACTTATCGGCGCTTTTTATTGGCTGTTTTGTTTGGTTTTATTCCGTGTTGTTGTTTGTTGAGATAGGTCCCTGCCTGCCTGGAGCTTTCCGTGTAGATCAGGCTGGCCTCCAACCCACAGAGTTCCTCCCACCTTTGCCTTTCCTGAATACTGGGATTAAAAGCATGTTCCACCTCACCCAGCCCTCAATAGTTGTATTTAACCTTCAATTAGCCCCAAAAATGTGACCATTAGATTCCATTTTATGGTCAAGAAATTCAGTGCAGAAGAAATGGGTCCTTCATTCAGGGTTATCCAGCTAGAAAATGACTGAGTCAGACTTCAAACCTGCTCTCAGACTCAAGGCTCGCCCTTTCCCTGCAATCTGCCCATGCTGTGAGAGAGGAGGCTGAAGCCTGCTGGACCAGACTGCAGGACAACAAATCTGAGGTGGCAAAGGGGACACGGAACCCAGCTCAGCTCCTTGGCGTCACAGACAACAAACCAGGGACTTGGAGAAGCAATGTCCCCACAGGCTCGTGAAGTCCTGGGTGGCAGGGCTAGGCTGCGAATCCATTTGAGTCGGAATCCCAGGCGAGGGAGTTCTGCTACTTGCAGAAGCACAGACTTTGGTTTCTGTGGAGATGCATCTGGCTGGGTGGGAAGAGGTGGCTGTTGTGGATAGCCTTGTACCTTGTGGCCGTGGAAGCCTCCCACAGAGGGGAGAGTAACAGAAGGGGTGGTAATGGATTTCACCCCCTTAACCATCTTCTTCTTTTCCTTCAAGTGTCCAGGAAGCCCTTACCATCCCTATGCAGCCTTCCCATGGAAAAAGGCGAGTGTGCGGCCCTCTTACTGCGGTGGTACTATAACACCAAATCTGGCAAGTGTGTGAGGTTTAACTTTGGAGGCTGTGGAGGCAACGAAAACAACTTCCTGAGCAGAGATCAATGCCGGTTAGCCTGCAGACGTGCCTGATTTATCAAGCCTGGACAGCTCTCCATGGAGTCAAACTCTCTAGGGGGTTCCCTAAGGCCTTTTGGGTGTGAATAAAAGATGCATTCCTCTAAATTTGTTTCCTTAAAATCAATTCTTTTCCTTGTACAATTTAGAAGTGCCACTCATATCTTAGTATGAATTATTGCTCCACCCACCTGAAGATAAATCCTTCAGATTGAGAGAGTTGGGCTGGAACTATAGGGATCTATACTGGACTAAGGAAATGAAGGACTCGTGATGTTTGTGCCAGGTTCCACACTAAGCAGAAACAGGAAGAAAGGGGGGAAATGGAGAGGGGAAAAAGCCCTGAAGATTTTAAGACCACCCTCAATTTTAAAAATAGGGAATTTTTATCTACTACTAAAGCCATGCCATGTCTTTCTGTCGAATGAGAAGAGAGCTGAAAAGCCCTGATCCCAGACTCCTTTGCTTTGCTTACGCAACAATTATTACCCTCTGAGAGGAGGGAGGAAGACGGGGAGCCTGTCTGCTCTGTTATTTCAAGGACAGATGAGGCACAAAGATAGGCAGGGACTTCCGTTTAAACCACAAGGTGGAGCCAGAGAGCTGGCTCAGTGGGCAGGAGTGCTAGCCACCAAACCCGACCACCTGAATACGATCCCTGAACCCACAGGATGGAAGGAGTCCATTCCTGCAGGCTGTCTCTTCCTGAACCCGGGGCTTGCTGTTTGTCTAGACTGGCTGTCCCGAAAAGATCTGGGAATTAACCTGTCTGAGATTAACCCACATCCACCCCCAGTGCTAGGATTACAGGCATGCTGCTGCACTCACATTTTATATGTGGGTCTGGGGATCTGAATTCGGGTCCCCACACTTTCCTTCTCAGCAGACCCCTGGACTGCTGTGCATATCTCTGAGGACTCTGAGTGCCAGCAAGCCTCAAGAGCGTATCTCCCAGCTCTGTTTAGCAGATAGACAGACATGCAACACACCTGGCGGTGAATGGAGTGATTTTGCAGGTGTTCCTCCACCTCTGAGAGGCCATGCTGGCTCCATGATCCTTGGAGAATAAGGAGCATCATAGGATTGGTGCAAAGATCCACCAGAGAAATACTAACACATCAGGACACCCCTGAATCATTGCTCATGATTTCAGAACAGATCTTTCCCTGGATTTTGAACCTGGATGACCCAGTTGTCCCATACTTTCCAGCCCACCTAAACCAAGTCAGGGGAAATAGGAACAGAGCAAAGAGAGCAGGGTTATGGCTTCTCCATTGCTGCAAGTGATCACTTTATTGGTTGGAGAAGGGAGGTGCTCTTGTGGGTCCAAGAAGAAACTCAAAGGCCAGAGGGAAGGGAGGCCACGGGAATGATACCAGCTGCATGGCCGAGCAGAAGCACCCTCTCCCCATTCCTCAGGCTGGTGGTGGCTGAAGCTGGAGAAAGAAAGCCATGGTACCATCAACAATAACATCTGTCACACTAGACACACATGGCAGCAGTTTAAATCCTGGCCTAGCTTCCTTCTTACTCCATCACGCTTGCACACACAGCAACGCACCACCTTCTCAGGGGCTCTGCCTCCGTTTCCCAGGAGGTTCTATACCCATCTCTTTGTTTTTGTTTTTGTTGTTTTTGTTTTTTTGTTTTTTGTTTTTTGTTTTTTTTTTTTTTTTTTTTTTTGGTTTTACGAGACAGGGTTTCTCTGTTTTGGAGGCTGTCGGTCCAGCCTGGCCTCGAACTCACAGAGATCCACCTGCCTCTGCCTCCCGAGTGCTGGGATTAAAGGCATGTGCCACCAACGCCCGGCTCTACACCCATCTCTTACACTTCAAATCAAACCTGTTCCCAGGACCTACTTGGGCATACCGTAGTCCCAAGTGACCACTGTGGCCTCCCTGGAGACCCACAAACATTTATCTCCCTAGAGTCTTCCTTCTTCCACCAAAAAGTCCCACCATACCTTCATTCCTTAGATCAGTTTGAGCTGAATTGACCAAATAGATGGCATTTATCCCTGTTCTGTAAGCAAAATAATTGTGGTTGAGGACATGAAGAGGCTAGGTAAGGGTCAGAGCTGAAATCTGAACCCTGGTCTTCCTGCTTGCAATGCCCACCATGCAGTGGCCATTCATGGAGATAAGAGACAGTTGTGGTCATAGCAGGGCTCAGGGTCCTAGGAAGACTGTAGTTCCCTCCTAGCCACTGAAACATATACTTTGAAATAAGGAGCATGAGACACTGGGCACATTCCCCCCTCTGGATTCAGCTATCCCCGTGTGCACTAATGAATTCCCCCAGCGACCTGTGATTGCCACCAAAAGGCTTGTCTGAGTTCTTGCTCATCCTACTTCCCCAGCCTTGAATACAATTGCCACCCCGCATCTCACCAAACCGTGAGTCGTTGCCTCATCCTTTTATGCCAGCTCAAGGTCGCACTCCACCCCCCAAGTTTTCTCCAACTGCTCCTACTCCATCCTCTCTCCCCCAAGTCTGAGTCTGTTTCCCACAGCAGTGGACACTGAGTAGTGGCACAGGCTGTGTCATCAATTCTGCTGTCTCAATCACTGCACTACAAGCTCCGGGGAGTGGTCTCCTTTCTGTTCCAGAACCTCCAACAACCACAATACTGGATCACCTAATGGGCCATCCAAGTGTCTGCCTTAGTTCCTCCCTTATTAACAATTACCGAATGGCATAATGCCATATTAAGTGTGTGTGTGTGTGTGTGTTTCCTGAATGTATCGGTGTACCTTAAGTGTGTGCAGTGTCCTTGGGTGCCGGAAGAAGGCATCAGAGCCCCCGGAATTGGGGTTATAGAAGGTTGTCAGCCACTAGGTGGGTACAGGAACTAAACCTGTGTTCTCTGCAAGAGCTGTAAATGCTCTTAGACACTGAGTCACCCCTCTAGCCCCAATGTAATAGTGTTTTATTTTTAACCATACACAGTGGGAAAGGTGACTCCCCAGACTTCTCCTTTTAGGGCCTGAGACACTAAACATACTGCCTTGCTCAGAGTAAATGCTTAACCCATTTCAGACACAACTAACAAATACAACGGAAGCTAACAGCTTCAACCACCTTTGTCCACAAAGATGAACCTTTGGAGTAAATAAAAATCAACTACTCTGTGTCCCACTCACCATGCAAACAGATACCTTCTCCTCAACCCCACTGGCCATTGACTCTTCCCCACCCTCCCTCAGACATTGTCCCCATCCCTTTCCAATCCCTGCCTTCTGAAGTTCCTGCTAAACAAAAAGGACGTTCATCACTCATCAGCAAACCTCACCACTCTTCTTCATGAAGTGCTGAACCGGCCACCTCTGTCCCCTGCCTCCATCTTTGTCAGGCTCCTCTAATCTGCCCACTTACAGGTGAGTCTGTGAATTTTTTTCCTGCCCTCAACAGTCTAGCCACGCCACAGCACGGGAGGGCCCTTTGAGAACGTCAGGGCAAGTCTCTTTCTGAAGACACACCTTGGTCAAGACAACGAGCTGTAAGGCCCTCCAATGGTCTGTCCCAGACAATGAGCTCTAGGCTCCAATGGTCTGACCCAGACAATGAACTGTGAGGCCCTCCAATGGCCAATGAGCTCTAGGCTCCAATGGTCTGACCCAGACAGTGAGCTCTAGGCTCCAATGGTCTGTCCCAGACCTTAGGACCTCCTGTCATATTTTCACCCAGTCTTCGATGCTTTCTTAAACGTCCCAGTGATGTTCTTGCCTTCGTGTTTCTGTTACCTCTGCCTGGACAGGCTCACGTTCCTTCTTCATTTCACACCTTTTTGATGAGGTCTTCACCCACTGTCCCATATAAAGATTACGGGAGCACCCATTGTCTCCCCTTCCCCAGGAACACTTCCCTCCTGTCCTCTGTCCCACTATGAAATCAGCTTGTTTATTTCTTTTCTCATTTTTAGACAATGAAAACCATCACCCAGTCTCTCATCTGATTTGTTTGATCACACATCACCTACAAACTATAGATAAGTATTAGTTGAGTTAATGGAAGTGAATGTACAGACAGATTTATTATCACCACCTTTTCCAAGGTCTTCCTCTTCAACCTGCTCTGAGTACCCCCACACTTGGACATCTCTGAACCTGCTCTCCTGCCCTCACCTACCTCAGAATATGGGTGTGGCACAGGTCATCTTCCCACAGCCATTGCGGCAGCATTTCATGTTGTCAGAACACTCACTGTCCGACTGGCACTGGTCCTCGCAGATGCCGAGCTTGGGGAAGTCCACACTGGGGCAGGCGCCCTGCTTTTCTGGGTAGGCAAGGGAGTAAGGGGAGGTAAGCTGGGGAACACAGGTAGGCCATTGGCAAAGCGTGGTTGAGCACTGTCCCAAAGCTGCTTCACCATTGACAGAGCTGCCTGCCTGAGTGGATTGTGGGAACCCGAGGCGCTCTCAGGGGTCCTGGGGAGATGAACAGCAAACCCCTACTCCTGCCCTCAGATGGCTTTGAAATCACAGAACCTCAGCTTGAGTCCCAGCTCTGCCATTGTCTCCCCTGTAGATCTCCCAGTCACACGGAATCCCTGCCATTGAGCTCATTGTCTGGGTCAGACCATTGGAGGGCCTTACAACTACATTGTAAGGTTGCTACAAAACACAATGGCCCCCCACGTATACCACCCTGGAAAACAAACCACTTGATACCAATGAGCAATTAGAAGCATTAACGCCTAATTAGCCCCTGTTGTGAGCCAGGCATTGTTTAGGTACTAGCTCATCCAATCTCACAATAATCATAAAAGAGGTAAATGCTTCCTTGCATTGACTACAGAGGAGGAAACTGAGGCAACACACTCTTAAGCTTCACCTAAGGTCATACAGGATGAACCAAGATTTGAACCACAGGAGATCTAGCTCCAGAGCGCTGCATACTACTTGATAAACTGCAAAGTGCAGTGCACATGTAAGGTGACACACACTATCTGCACTCACTCTCATAGGATCACTACCAGTTACAATCTCTCAGTGCCATGGCCCTCCACGCATCCTCGATCGCCCGTGCACAGATAAAACCACCACACCCCACACGCCCCTACACCATGTTCCATTCGATGGAAGTACCAGGCAGGAGCAAAGTCCAGCAAAAGGTAAGATGCAGACAGCCAGGTAGGTAGGCGGGTAAAGGACCTTGAGAGGAGAGGCTGCCAGCATCCTGACTCTGCTAATACAGGTGCTCTGGAGCTATCCTGAGACAAGAGAGGAGTTATTCCAAAGCCACAGACTTGTACAGAGTGTCCACTCACTGAGTAGATGCTTTTGAGTACCATTGCTTTAGCTCCCGAGCAAGTCTTGCAAATTGATGTCATCATGCCCACTTTGCAAGTGAGCAGGCAGTTTCAAAGAGCAAGCTGCTCAGGCTCACACACTTAGGAAATGGTAGGGCTAGGATTCAAACTCCCAGGCTCCTTCCTGGCTCATGAGGCCATCTGGCCTGTCCAGATGACACAAGGAAGCAATGTCTTCACCCACCAGACAGAGCCCTATGTGCCAGCTGGCTCAACTCCATCATTCCTGGTCATCCTTTTCCAGGCCCATCCATAGCACCCTCCACAACCAAAAACTGCCGCCCCCATGGGCAAGTCTTCCCTCCCCCTTCCACCTTCCCACTCATATCGCCTTAGGACTCCTAAGTCTAAATTCTCCCAGCCTCTGTGGGCATCTCTGGGGAAACCGTAAAGGCAAAATAGGGGGTAGGGACTGTGTCCACGATCAAGACCAATAATTACAAACCTTTGTTCCCATCTTGTCCCCACCCCCACCTCCTAAACCTCCGCTCTTCCCTCTTGGAAATGGGACGCTTAGATTCCATACCTAGGTCGCCTTCTTCCCTGACCACAGCCGGTGGTAAGGTGGAGACTTGACCTCCCTGTGAAGGAGAAGTATGGAGGACGGATAGAGTAGGGTCCAGGAGCTCTTCCTCGTTCAGTCCTGAAGGTGGAGGAGATCCTTTTAAGGATAAAGGAGGGAAAGTCAGAAATGTCAAAGGAAGAAACGGAACCTCTACCAGCCACAGGATGGCGGTGTGACTTTGTACAACAATATTTCTTTCGGTCGCTCACTTCCACAGACATAGGGTGTGGCAAAGTTCTTTCCCGCCCTCAGGGAGAAATCTGAGAAGTCTAGTCAGGCCAGGCGGTGGAAGGTCCTGAGGGAGGGACTCCGAAAGTAAGGGGTCCCCAGGGCTCGGGTTCCAGCCCTGACGCTGCCCAGGAATTGCCCACAATCTTTAGCCAAGAAAGGCACTGGTCCCGGAACAAAGTCTCGCTGTGCGTGCCCGGAAGCCCGTCATGCACCAGAGAATCGAGCCCAACCAGGAATGGGGGACCTCCTCCCCCTGGACCGCGCCTCAGTGACGCCTTTGTCCCCCGCATCCACCCCAGGCCGGACAGGGGAGGGCACGGGTGGATCGGGTTTCCACCGCTTCACCCTTCCAGGGTCACTGGGTCTGGGGTGCCTTCTTCCCTGAACCCGTGCGCTCCCCCCAGGTCGCCGAGAGGTTACCATTAGGCGGGGAACAGACAGAGCTGCAGCCGGCCTGGCAGCACTTGAGGTTGTCCAGGCAGTGGGTGTCCGACGAGCACTCCTTCACACAGCCAGTATTGTTCTGGAGCTGGGGGCACACGCCGGGTTTCTCCTCTCCCGCACCTGGGGATGGTGGGAGCAGAGAATCGCCGGGGAGAATCGAGTCCAGTCCCACCGGGATACCCACCGCCTGCTCCAAGATCTTCACATTTTTAACTCCACAGACTTCTTCTCTGGCCCCAGGGGTCCTCATAACAACCCAGAGGGCTCCATGCCCCTGCCAGGAGTCTCTGACGCTTGGGGGCTCCCTGATGCTTGGCTTCAGAGTTCAGTCCTCCTGGGACTTGAGCCCCTGACTGCCAGCTTCGCTCATGCTGGGGGCTTTCCGCTCCACTGGGTCTCCGCCTTCAGCACAGGGAGAGCCTCTGCCCTCCAACCTCAGTGGTCTCCCCACCCCAGGGCATTGAAACCCAGATCCTAAGCTTTAAGAATTACGAGTTGTAGGCCCCAGAGTTCACAAAATTTAAATTTCCATTGGCCTCCGCACTTTCAACCCAGAACCCCTCCTTTTTGAGACTCCCTTCTGGGCACCATGCTCCTGGCTGCACTCACCTGTGACTGGAAGGTGGGTGAACAGCAGCAGTCCCAGAAGCAGGCCCGCTGCCCGCAAGCAGAGGCGACAGGCAGGCATGGTGCAGGTGTGAGCTGCAGCCCGGGTGGGGGGGATTTAACCACTCGCGCCGGGGGCGGGGCTGAGCGAGGGGTGCAGGAGGCGGGTAGGAAGCCGAGCGGGCAGTGCGGGCGCCCTGCCACCTCATGCCATTTCACAATCCCCCGGGATCAGGTGTCACTCTTGGCTCTGGTGGGAACCAGGAACCGAGACAGCTTCTGAGCCAGCTGTAGCCAGGCACTTGTCCACCCCTCCCAGTCTTCCTACCTTTCTGAAGCCTGAGGGCAAGGCAGGGCAGCGGGAGCAAAGGGCCCGGGGCTCTCAATTTTAAAGAGTCTGGGGTCCTCCCCAGAACGGCTGGAGTCCAGGCATAAGGAGGAAAGGGCAAGGCTGCAGGGAGGCATCAGACGCTGGGGATTAAGTGCTGAGACTTGGGGTCAGATGGATCAGAATGCAGAGCCCTGTTCCAGGATTAGAGAAGGCAGGTGTTGTTGAGGCTGCAGAGATAGCAGTCATTAACAAAGGAGCCCATCTGACGGGGAACAGGCCCACGAAGCAGAAACACCCGTGCAGTTACCAGCCCTTTGAGGCATTTCTGCCTCTTGCTAGCACACTCCATGAGGACACAACGGCGAGCACCTCCGTCTCCGCATCTTTCCCTAGGGCTAGAGAGTTATTACTGTCAACTGCACAAGACACACAGGCTGGACATCCAACGCCTGACCCCAACCTACGTTCGGAACCAAAGCTGTTCCGGCAAGAGTTTGGATATGCATCTCTTCCTCCGGGCTGTTTCCTCTACCCCATAAGCATTTGCTGGGTGCCTACTGTGTGGCACATACAGAGGGAGTGGTGACAATGACTATGCAAATGGCAGGCACCTTTAGGGCAGATTTCCTGGCACCTTCAAGAAGATATCCTTCCCTTTATCATCAGGCAAAGCTCAGCAGTGCAAGGATGGCCCATTCCCTAAGAGCCTCCTGTGTATTCCTGCAGATTAAATTCCTCATCCTTTGTTGCCAAGAGTATTGTTTTGGAACTAACTCCCTTGCTCTCCTGGCCTCTGCAGGTAACAAATGGTTCCCCTGTCTTTCACATCTTGACTGGGTCGATTTTGGCTTTGCACCCACCAAGATGTGAACCACCAAATTCAGGTACCATAATCAAAAGGGGGCTGTCCAGCTCTGGTCACAGGATGACAGGGACTAGATTTGGCTTCCACGTCCCATTTGAAGGGCCTTGGTTGAAGCATTTCCCTCCTCTGAAAAGCCATTACGTCATCTGTAAAAATACTGATTGGGGGCTAGGGATGTATCTCAGTGGATACGGCCCTTGCCAGGTATGTGTGAGGTCCCTAGGTTCAGTCCTCAGGATCACAAACACACAGAGAGAAAGAATAACTATTAAAGTCACATTCCATGAGAGCCAGAATGCCGTGCTCCTGCCCTGGAACAACCATGGAGTCCATACTTACTGACATAGGAACCCCGGGGCTTGGTATACGACTACTACATACATAGCCACGACTATCCAACAAATGATCAATGTCCACTGCTATGAAGGATCCTGCTGAGTGAATACTGCCCTTTGTGCTCCTGGGTCCCATGTCCTTCTCTGATGGAATACTTGGTGACAAAACTGTGCCTGGGTTGAGCATGTGCTGACTGTCGTTTCTTGCCATTGTTCCCTAAACAATATGTGGCAGTGGGTATTTCACAAGATTTAAAGTACACCAGAATACACATGTGTTCCAGGCAAACACCACTCTAGATTTTTATTTAATACATTCATTTCTTTAAATGTACAGCCCATTGAACTTGTCCACACATCTTTATCCGTGGCTGGGCCTTCTCCACACTTTGTGTTTCTGGTGTCAGTTACTGGGGTTCAGTGTCTTGAAGCAGTTTGATAAGTCCTTTACTAAGGAGCTCCTGAAGGGTCTCCTGCCCCATGATAAGCTTCTAGTCGGGACCTTTCTTGTGTCTGAGCATGTGCAGACTTAGATCTGGGCTCCTTGTTAGCTTTGCCCATGACTAGTCACTTTCTTGGCCAGCTCTCTGGCATCTTCCTCTTGCCCTCATCTTTGGGCTGTATGACAACACTCTGAGAATAGCAGAACCCACTATGGCCTCCCTAAGAGGCGGTGAAAGCCAGAGGTGGCAGGCGATTCCATGGGAGCAGCACCACCCAGACATAACAGACATGTGTGTCATAGGACACACATATGAACTCACAGGGACTGTGGCAGCACAAGCAAGACCTGCATGAGTTCAAACCAGACAAAATCCCTGTACTGAGAAGGGAAGAGGACTTCAAGTGCCACCCCTAACCAAGACGCTATCTGAAATTGGTGTCCGCTATGGAAGGGGAAACCAGTTCTCTTTGAGTGTATCAGGCACACTCTCAGGCAGGCCCCAGCCCAGGAGTAGTGGGCCAACACAAAATGAACTCCATTTTTTGTGCACTTTTTGTTTTGTTTTGGCTTATTTGGTTTTTTGTTTGATTTGATTTTCATTTCGGGAGTGGGAGAGAAAGAACATGAGGTTGGGTGGCAAAGGAGGGGAGGGTGGATCTACAAAAAGCTGGGGGCTGGAAAGAATATGATAAAAATATACTTCTTTAAATTTAGTAAAAAATGAAAATAGCCGGGCGGTGATGGCACACTCAGGGAGGCAGAGACAGATGAATCTCTGTGAGTTCGAAGCCAGCTTGGTATACAGAGCAAGTTCCAGGACAGGCTCCAAAACTACAGAGAAACTCTGTCTCGAAAAACCAAAAAATAAAATAAAATGAATATTGCTGGGGGAGAATGTCAGGGTGTGGGGAGCCACTGCTTTCTACAGGGGGCTTGTGTGGGTTTGGGTGTTTGAGGGAGACATGGAGACACTTAAGTACAACTGTGTATATCAAACTCCAGAATTCAGACCAGCAAATGCCAAAACAACGAGCAAGGAGTTGCACAAGAAGTACCTGCAAGCATGCTCCTAGCTCCAGAAGTCCAAGATTTTTACAACCCAGGGGGATTTTTCTGCTAGGGGCAGGAGTTATCTGCAACAGGGGAAACTGGGATGTCAGCTGGGTAAGGTTTGGTGATATGGATGCATCCAACCACTGAGCCGGTGAAAGATGTTGGTAAAAGTGACTGAAAAAGTCTCCTCCAGCTTTGCAGGCTGGGGACTGGAGACATGCCGTTGTTGGGAGGGGCCGGGGCTATTTACTCTGAGCTCAGAGAAAGTCAACAGCAAGAAGGGTGAGAGCTAGGTGGGGTCACAGCCCTGGACAGGCTCCTAAAGCCCAGAGCACACAGACTATGCATTGGTGAGCAGCTGGTTTAGCCGGTAGACCAGATGGCTACTGGACACTTATCCTTGGGCACTGCTGCACACAGCTTCCTTGGACAGTATGTTGTTAGGTTCAAGCCCTTCCAGGCTCTGAAGAGCTCCCAGGCTCCCGTCTTCTAGAATATGGATTAGTGGAAGGCTTGGAGAGTAGGGAGCTGGTAGAAGATGGAGAAAAAGTTCTCAAGGTCAGTGACATCAGATGTTCAGCTTTATTTTGGTGCTAGGCTCTGAGCTAAGCTGTCATGTAGTTTCTCTTCTGCATAAGTAAGAACGGAGGCTTAGTAACCGAAAACACCAGAGCACAAGTGAGGCTCCAAGAGCTTCTGGGCTGTGACTCAGAACAGCGCTTCTCCTGGAGGGGCTACATTTTCTTCCACAAAATGGGCATCGTTGTAGCATCTTGTGGGACTGTTAATAGGATTAAAGAGAAGAGCAAAAAACAGGGGGGTGGCAGATCCAGCTGGAGCACGTCTATTATTAGCCCGCATAGTACATTTCTAAATTTTGAATTAGCTGCCAATGTTTAAAAGTGGAGAATTTCGCATAAAAGAAATAACTTTCCAATTCTCTTTGAAATAGCACAGGACCTGGCAGCAAATCCTCAAGCCCATAAAGAAATCATCAGCTAGAGTGCATCTCTCAGAACTGGGCCTACACCTTGATCACCTGAAGGGATCATGGAGATGTGGCTTGTGGAGAACTAGGGCTGCGGCTCAGTTGGTGGGGTGCTTGCCTCTCACACATGAAGCACTGGGTTCAGTCCCCAGCGCTGCTTAACCTGGGCATGGTGGCTCACTCCTGAAGGCAGGAGGATCAGACTTTCAAACCATCCTTGGCTACATAGCAAGTCTGAAGCCAGCCTGGACTATGTGAGAGCACCCCCAGAGTGTCTCTGGGTGTAATCTGCGAGTGTACACCTGTAACAGAATTCCAGATGCTGCTGGTGAAGCAGCCACACTGGGGTCACCATGGCACAGAGCTAAGCTGGCATGCTCTCTTCTTATGAGAGGGCTATCACATTGTCCCATGTATTCCACTGCCCATTGTTGCCCCTAGCAACAACCTGAGTACATTTACATCTGTGACCTGTGGTAGGTACGCCCTAGAGCTCACTGGAAAGTAGCTTGTGTCTACTTAGCAATATCATGGGTTAAGAAGTATCACTCCCATAAGAACCATCACTGTGGGTCACTGAGGCAGAGTGACTTGCTGGCGGGAACCCACACCATCAATTGTTCCTGTGGCTTCCGTTATTTCAATATTTCACCCACCCACCCCATTCCACACATACTCCTGAGTTTTAAAAAACTATATTGCATGTCTTTGTGGCGCACACCTTTAATCCCAGAATTTAGGAAACAGAGGCAGGCAGATCTCTGTTGAGTTTGAAGTCTGCCTGGTCTACATAGTGAGTTCCAGGTAAGCCAGGGCTACAGAGTGAGAACCTTTCTAAGAAAGAAGAGGAGGAGAGCTGAGGGGGGCAGGAGGGTAGATGGGGAGGAAGAAGAAGAAAAATTAGTCGGTTAATCAGGCTCCTGAGATGGCTTGGGGGTAAAATCACTGTCTCTGCAAGCCTGGCACCTGAGTTCAGTCTCCAGAGTCCACAGGATGTAGCGAGAACCAAACACACAAAGTAGTCCCCTGACCTCCTTCTGTGACACATGCAAGTGACACATGCACATGCAAGCTGCTGTCACCAAACTCTATTCACACACAAATAGGTAAAATCTTCAAAAAAAAAGATAGATGATACATT